CTCCAATATCAGGCGTACCAAAGTTCATGGCACGAATGGTTGTCGTCTTGGCGCACTCAGTGATGAGGTGTTCTGGTGTTTTCCCATTTTCCCCACAGAATCTGCATTCTCCGTTTCTTCTTAGTATCAATCTACTGAGGTGTTCATTGAGGAGACAGTGTCCTGTTAAAAACCCCGTGACAATCCGAAGATTGTTCTTAAATCCAGGAAGATCTTTTATTTTGCTTGGTCGTAAGCCCTCAGAAACTTCTTCGAGTGTCTTAGACCGTTGCAAGATTCCCATTCCAGGTTGCGGATGAAGTCTTCCAAATTCTTCAGTTTCGCTTTTAATTGGTTAGCACTTGGGAAGCAGAACTGTTCTGCTTCAGTTAGTGGAGTGTTCGCTCCATTTCTAGCTAGGTCGTTTGCTTTTTCATTGCCTTCTATCCCTTGGTGAGCGAGCTCCCAGAATAGAACTTTATTTTGTGTAATTCGTTCGACTTCTTTAGTCATTCTTTGACCAACTTCGAATTGATGGTTACTGAGTTGATCGCTTTTAAAGCTGCTTGAGTATTAGATAAGATGGCTATTTCCTGTTTTCGATAGTCCCTATCTAAGATAAATTGTACACATCTTCCGACAGCGTAGATTTCTGCCCGAAGCATGTTGGGGTAGATACCCATTGGTTCGGAGTATTTAGTTTTCGGCCCAAATAGTCATATCCCTGTCCCTGCTTTGGTTTTGGAAGCATCATAACCTTTATGTTAGACAATCCTGAAATTCAGATCAGACTTCATTACAGCAGCCAACAGAAAATTTGGTGTGAGACATTCAATTTTAAAATAAAGACATTCGAAACAGTCAAATTCCTATTAAAAAAATCCTAAAACAGAGAAACATGAAAGAAAACAAACAAAAAGGTAGAAACCAAAGCTATCACAATCAAAACACGCTTGTCGGAACAGTTGCGTAACTTCTAGGGTATACGTATGTCATAATTGTCATATTGTCGTCGTAGAGTCCAAGATTGTAAAGTCAAAGACTCATCTCTCGAAAAGAATAAATAGCAAAACCTCCGCAACTTAATATATATTTTCTTAAGTTTCATATATTACTTTACCATTACTCCACTAGCTAATTTGGCTATTATAATGAGTCCAATCAAAGTCCAATCAATTTTTATATTAGACAATATTAGGTTAAGGTGATTACTTTGTTTTTTTATTTCATATGTCTTATAGAGTTTTTAAAATAGTTGTAAGAAAGAGTTTTTAATAAATACTTCTGCACACCAAACATGTTAAATCTAGAGTTTTAGACATGTTTTAAACAGTTTTAAAGAAATAACTAAGATGAGTTTAAAACAAGTATCTCATGGTGTGAAAATATCCCTAAAGGGGCGGCCATCACGGTTTTTCTGCCGAGGAGCAAGAGGAAAGACACCACCTACCTGCTGAGCCTTATCCAGGGTCAGAACTTCAATGTAAGGACATCGAGTTGGCGAGTCATTAACTCGAGGGAAGAGGGTCATGGTTAGGTCCTCATAATAGGAATTGACATCAAATCCAAGGAGGCAATAGAGAAAGAGGGACATATCCTCTATTATAGATACGGAACAACTCCGGCGGTATCAGGTCTAAGGAGAGACCAAGTTAAAGAGGTGGAGAAAATGGAGACAGATCCTCCAGCCTCCACCTCACGGGTTCCTCAGCCGGAGGCAAGCTCCTCGACTGTGAAGGGCGACAAGGAGGGCCAAACTCCAACCGTGGAAGGGTGTGTACCCTCGGAGGAAGAACTGCTGTCAGAGGAGGATGGAAAATACCCTGTCTCCTCTATAACAGGGGTATGATGGGTTATAGACTGTGTGATGACTCAAGGAAGGGGGCACAATAGATCTTTAAGGTCGCAGTGATTAACCCCCCCTCTTACTCATTCTACATTCTACATCTACTGGTGTTTTAAACCCCTTTAAAACACTTGTTTTTAAACAAAATGTTTAAAACAAAATAACTCTGATAATAACACCAAAATAAGATCATACAGAAAGTAAGAGTAAATTAAATAATGCTTATTTAACATAAAAACGCTTTCAAGTCCAAGCTGCAAGTGCGAGAGAGCATACATATGAGAATGCAGACAAACATTACGTGTCTGAAAAGCCGTTGACCAAATATGGTAAGGAGGTCAGAGTATTCGAATCGCTAAATTTATTATCTCGATTAAGAAAAACGTAATGCAACTTGATCATAAAACATCTTTAGCCGGCCTAATAAATCCAATCGAATCTGAGAGTTAATAAAATTTCATATTACCAAAAAAGTATAGGGACAGGTACAAGGACAGTTAATTTTTTAATTTCTTTAATAAATAATAAATGAACAAGTGGTACGGCAGAATAAGATGATTTTCTATTGAACAGAGGAGCATTTCGGTCTTAAAATTACGGTCATAAGCAATAAGCAATAAGCAATAAAACAACCCCGGGGTTTCCAAAGAGTAGATAAATAAAATCTGGGTATATACCTGTACATACATTTAGATGAACACACTAATTTTATAAAATGAGTTCCCGACGACCGTATTGTAAATACCCGGTATAATACCAGGAATATACCTGTATATATCGGGAATATATCTACAAGCATGATTGATCACATACATACGCTAAGAGAAACTATCAGCCGAACAAAAGAATACGACCTTCCACTTAGAGACTTTGAGATGGCTTTCGACAGGATATCTCCTAAGCCAGTAATAGAAGCCCTAGCGAATCAAGGTATTGACAGGCCTTACATAGAAACTCTCGCCAATATATACAAAGAAACCAAAGCAAGAGTATGATATATAAAACAGCCCCGGGGTTTCCAACTGACGGGGAGACGCAATATCCCCAAAGCTGTTTACCGCAACAGTAGAAGAAATCTTCCGTCAACTAGACTGGACCAACAAAGAATAATATGGAGACCAATAAAGAATAATATAAAGTAGATGGAGAATATCTTAACCATCTAAGATTCGCTGATGGCATGGTCCTAATAGCCAATAGTCCTGAAGAACTACAAACACAAATTAAGGATCTAAATACAGCCAGCAGTAAAGTAGGTCTCAAAAAGAATTTAACAATAACTAAAACAATGTACAACGAACTAGTAGACAGAAACAACATTCTAATAAATAACACAAAAGTGGAAATAGTAGAAAAATACATATATTTGGGACAATGAATGCACAGCTCGGGATCTCTGCTACCAGAAATCAACAGAAGAATTGCATCAAACCTTCAACTTTAGCTTTGAGCCTCGAAACCAGAGACTTTAGTACCCGCGGGTGGGGACCTGCTAAACTAACCAAAACTCTTCAGTTTTGAACGAAATAAATGTGTCATTTTATAATGTACTAGCGTGTACCAACGACTTCGTTCGCGTCGAATTAATCATTTGTAATGATGATGATAAAGCAAGGCAAGAATTGCCATTAACATACAAACTTGATAAAATTTTCTCACATTTATGTCAGCATGAGAAAAAACAATATGGCGATATTATTATATAACTTGGTAATATTTGAGGTCGTCTCGTTGGTATTTGACTTTCTAAAAATCCGTTTGCCAAAAATAAGCTTTTTACGTCAAGCAGTTTAAGCAGAATCGTGGTTAAAAAATTATCGAACTTTTTGGAACACCCTGTATGATTTTTTAAAAAATTTCAAAATGTGTAAAAAAAAACAAATAAATTATGCTTGTTCAAGCGTTTTCCCGAAAGACTAACCGTTTTTTAAATAACAAATATTGTAATATTTGAGGGGTGAAAACGCAAATCAACTTTAAACGTCAAGCAGTTTAAGCAGAATCGTGATTACTCAATGATCATATTTTATGAAACACCCTGTATAAATTTATAAAAAATCTTAAAATATGTAAAACAACAAAATAAAATATACGTGTTTAAGAGTTTTTCTGAAAAACTCACCGGTTTTTAAATAAAAAAATATTTTAATATTTGAGGGATAGTCACCCCCTTAGAATTCGAGTTTCGAAAAATCCCTTCTTATAGAACCTCTAAACCCTAAAGTCAATCTGTTTTCCAAAAATCAGCTTTTTACGTCAAGCGCTTTAAGCAGGATCGTGATTAATCAATGATCAGATTCTTCGAAACACCCTGTATACATTTTTAAAAAATCTTAACATATATAAAAAAACAAAATAAAATATACGTGTTTAAGCGTTTTTTCGGAAACTTGACTGTCTTTTAAATAAAAAATATTGTAATATTTGAGGGGTGGTTTCACCCTCTTGGAACTGGAATTTCAGAAAATACCTCCTTATCGAATCTCTACACCCTAGAATCAACCTGTATGCTAAAATTGAGCTTCTTACGTTGAGTGGTTTGAGCAGGATCGTGATTAATCAGTATGTCAGTCACTTAAGGATTTTATATATTAGTATATAATAGATTAAACTATATACCTTGGCATGAGGGCAGTTTTCTTCTTCTTATTATTATTTTTTTTTATTAAAGTTCAAAACACCATAGCTGGCTTACTTGGATTTTTTGGAATAGTGATCAAGGTTTTCTCTGCCGTGCTCTTTTACTTGTGAATTCCAGGCAGAGTACGGCACTTCTTTCATTTCATTTAATAAAATAAGTAGGGCTATTTACAAATTTAGCATTTGATTTAAATTCAAATTTTCCTAAAAATGCTTTTGACGAGAGCCTCCGAGGTAAATCACATTAAAAAATATTTTTAACACAATAACTAGGTTCCTTTATTTCATTTAAACTGTTTGCTATACCGTTGGCTAAATCTTACCTCTTCAAACTTTGTTCAACTACTCTAGCTTATTATACTACAACTTATATTAACTACTAGTTAAAATTAAGAAAAAATATAATCTAATAATGTTTACAATGACGTTACTTATAAGCAATGTAACACTACACATTTTTAATATAGATTAAAGAAATAAATGCACACACTATCAGTTATCCCAATGCTAATATAACTATATTTTTCTGTTCCAGGGTAAATGTTCAGGTTGCGCTTTCCCCGTTAAGTGCAATTGTACTGGCATCAAAGGCAGAGCGGGAACACAGGGTTACTCTGGAGTGCCCGGGACACAAGGAGGGCCCGGTGATACAGGATACCCAGGCATAAGAGGACCGAAAGGAGAAAAAGGATCCGATGGAGGATATGGAGTGATTGGAGATAGAGGAGCTAGGGTGAGTAACAACAGTCGTACTTAAAAGTATATTCAAAAAGTTTTTCATCTTCTTGTAAGTATAGTAGGTTGAGAGTAGAGTTGACCATTAATAGTTAATGTTTCAGTCATTTCTTCTGAAAGTTTCTTTTTTCTTCTAATGTTTTGACCAATTTATTACACTTCTGTAGGTAAGTTGAAGTAGAAAGTCCCTCATAATATTTTTTATTAAATAAAATTTCTTTTGAAAGTTGGTCTTTCTAAAATTACTAACATTGCCTTTGTCTGTCTCAAACAATCAACTTCTCATGATTTTTGAAAAAAAAATTTGGTTTTATCAAATAAAATATTTAAATTATCAGAAAAACACATAATCGTGTTTCTGGGATCGAAATATACTACCTACTATTATACTAAAAATATTTGCACTTATTTAAGACTCACCCTGTACATGCAGTGCGTCGGGCATCTGTTATAATAAAAACTTAAAATTTTTATAATAATAATATTAGGTTGCATTTCAGGAAAAAATATTAACTTCTACAGGGCCATATTTTTTGTATTTTTAATATTTTTTTTTATACAGGGCTGAAATTTTTTTAATTCTTCGTTAATATCTCTTATCTCTTATAAAAAAAACATATTTAATAGTATCATAGGATTAAAAATTGTAAAAAAAAATTACGGATGCACTCACACTTTTTTGGACCACCCTGTAGAAGTTAAGATATTGCCCTGAAATACATCCTAATACATACTTCAGGTTTGCACTTAAACAAAATTCTTAAGTTTTTATTATAGTCACTATTGCTGGACCCTGTATATACAGGGTGAGTTCAATAAGTATAAATATTTATATTTCGATCCCCCCCAGAAACACGATTATGACTTTTTTCGCAAAAATAATTAAGAGTATTCGGAATTATTGTAAAACTAAAGTCGAAATAGGAAATAATCAAATGTTTAATAGGTTAGGTTTGGTTTAAATAATATAAATTTAAAATATTATATTTTAGGGCGATGCTGGTGAAAGGGGACCATTTGGATTACCTGGAAATTCTGTAAGTATTCCTAAATATTTCAGAATTTACTTTGGGTGATTAACAAATTATTTGACTGCTTTAGGGATCGCCTGGTGAATTGGGTCCACAAGGACCTTCAGGCTTAGATGGGTGCAATGGAACAGATGGTGTGCAAGGACCCGATGGTAAGTGTTTCAAGTACAAACTGTAAATTTGCATTAATACAGTTAGTTCAGTCATTGGGGATCAAAAAAGAGGCCTGCTTGAAAAAAAGTCTGGAAGTTTTGAAACTTTGCAGGTTTATAGGTTTTGGGGTCCCTAATTAAAATCCATAAAATGCACATTTCCAGACTTGTCGCCGGCCCCGCCATCTTGCCAAGATAGCGCCCAAAATCGGTATTTTGTGAACATCTCGGAAACTATGCATTTTTCGCGAAAATTTGAAGATAGCAAAATTAAAGAGAATAAAATTTACTATAAAAAAGGTTTTATGAAAATTTTCGCTAAAGTCAACCGTTTAGGCACAAAATTCCCTGGAAATTTTACAATTTTGCGTAAAATATGATATATTATGTATAGTCGATTTTCCGAAATCAAATGTCGATTAGGGTTCACTAAAACTAGTTTTAGTTTAGTTTCATCAATTTTGTCATGAAACAGTGGCGTATCATTAATTCGCTCATTAATTTATGAATAATTAATTGTCGTGCTGGACAGCATTCATTGCGAACTTACCACCAGGTTCAGCATTGGTCTGATTGTAGGTACCAAAGATGCCGAAGAATGGGGTTGGAAGAAAACAAAAACAAGCATTACTCCAGTCACAACGTTGAAAGATCCAGCTCCAAAATCCCTGTTGGCGTTTTTATCCTGTAAATGCAAAACCAACAACTATGGCAAAGCCTGCGGATGCAGAAAAGCAGTATTAAAATGTTCCATGATTTGTGCATACTGCAATGGGAAATCCTGTGACAACGTCACTGAAGTGTCACTCGACGAATCCGATGAAGAGGAGTTGGACTTGCCTGTAGATATCCCTCTGGCGGCTGAAGATGAAGAGTTGGACGTACTGAGAGACCACCCTGATGAGCGCAACACAGCAGACACGATCGACTCTGACATCAATGAGCCAGATCCGTCAGGCTTGTGTAGATAAGTTAAAGTTTTTAATTTATCTAGTGGAGTAGGCCTCCGGGGAGACCACGTTAAAATAAACGCGCCATATACTTGCCTCTTGTGTAGTGTGGAAACAAGTACACATTTTCAATAATTAAAATTAATTATTTATAAATTAATGAGCGAATTAATGATACGCCACTGTTTTATGACAAAATTAAAGAAACTAAACTAAAACTAGTTTTAGTGAACCCTAATCGACATTTGATTTCGGAAAATCGACTATACATAATACATCATATTTTACGCAAAATTGTAAAATTTCCAGGGAATTTTGTGCCTAAACGGTTGAGTTTAGCGAAAATTTTCGTGTAACCTTTTTTATAGGAAATTTTATTCTCTTTAATTTTGCTCTCCTCAAATTTTCGCGAAAAACGCATAATTTTTGAGATATTCACAAAATACCGATTTTGGGCGCCATCTTGGCAAGATGGCGGCGCCAGCGGCAAGTCTGGAAATGTGCATTTTATGGATTTTAGTTAGGGACCCCAAAACCTATAAACCTGCAAAGTTGCAAAACTTCCGGACTTTTTTCCAAGCAAAAATCCCCAATGACTGAACTAAGTGGAAAGTCTCTTTTATTTTCTGTTAATTTGACTTGAAGCCATAATAAGTCCATCTAGGAAAATATTTTAATGTCATAATCTACAATCTACACATATACATATGATTATTTTACTACATTTTTCTACAGAAGTATATTTCTGTAGAAATATTTAACGAAGCTATAGCTCCGTTAAAATCTAAAACCTTAAAACTAATCAGTAAGTCTATATTTCTTGCTATACATAGGGTGAAACAAAACTAGATACAGTGACTTCCTTCGCTATTTCAAACGGTACAACCTTATTATACAAGGTCTTAAACAAATGCAAATATTCAGGTGTGGTAGATCTCAATAAAAGAGACATATCTTCCCTTTACCATTTTTCAAATAAGTCTTAATAACAGAGTTATTCAAGTTTAAGAAAATTTATAAAAACATTTTCCTATTAAATTTTGAAAACCATTGGATTCCAAACCACAAATCCAAAATCACTGAGTTATTAAAACTTGGAAATTTAAAAAAAAATATCTTTTAAAAAAGTTGAGGACCACCGGAATCTTTCTGTATTTGCGTCCCTTTTAGTTCCGTAACCATGGTAATATCAGAGATTAAGAAATATTATCGTGGGGAAATTTGCGGTTTACAGACAGTTCTAAAAAGTTTTCTAAAATATAAAAAGAAAATGCACAATTTTCAATATTTTTTTTGTCGATATACAGGGTGGTCCGAACTGTACTCCAGAAAATTCGGCAGCATATTCTGCAGATAAAAATAAGTAAAAATGTTCGTATAAATATATGTCCTAAATTTTCAAAGATACAGGGTACAGGTTGAAATTTCATTTTTATTACGATTTTTTCCAAATAATTTGTGTAGTCAATATCAAGTAACGTCAATATGTTAGATGAAAATTGGTGTCTGGGAGTTTTTTGACATGAGAAATTTGATTTTGATGTCAATATGACTCCTACTTGTAGAGGGCGCCACCTACATATTTTTTAACTGGTTTGAAGGGTAATAACTTTTCGACTGTACCTGTATTAAACTACAGAATAAAATATACATTTACCACGTTATTTACGTAAAAAATGTTTCTTGGTAAAAATCCATACGAGTAATGGTTCTCGACATATTTGGAATCGAAATTATCAATACCTGTCGTCAATGACATAAATTAAACATGTTGACTAAATAGTTATTAGACTTATTAGACTTGAATCATAAATTTGTAATGTTTTTGTGCCAAAAGTTCAACAGAAACTGTTTTATCACAATTCTTCTCATCATTAATTTAAAAAAATAAAAAGTTATCAAATTTTTATCATTTCAGTCAAATAACTATCTGCTCGACATGTTTATTTTTTGTTAATAACAACATGTATTGACCAACCCCATTCTAAATATCTTGAGAACGGCTGCTTGTAGCGATTTTTACCAAGAGACATTTTTTACGTAAAAAATCACGGAAATGTATATTTTTTCACCGAGTAGTTTTATACAGGTACGGAAAAAAGTTATTACTGTTCAAAACAGTTAAAATATATATGTAGGTGACGCCCCCTACAAACAGGAGTCAAATTGACATCAATATCAAATTTCTCATGTCAAAACAATCCCAGACACCAATTTTCATCTAAATATTGACGTTACTTCAGAAATTGTTTGGAGAAAATCGAAATAAAATTGAAACTTCTACACCTTGTATCTTCGAAACTAAGCATTTTATGACATACATTTATACAGATTTATCTGCAGAATATGCTGCCAAAGTTTCAAAGTTTCCGGAATACAGTTCGGACTACCCTGTATATCTAAAATATGCTTTATTATTGCCCTCATATTTTACTTGGCTTGAATTATAAATACCTAATAAGAAACCTAACTGGATCATTTTTAGAAGACGTATGGTCAGCATCATTTAAAAAAATAATTGATTTTAGGTACCCATGGGTATCCGGGATCCAGAGGCTTGGTCGGTCCTCTAGGACCACCAGGTCCACGAGGTGAACCGGGCGAGGGTGGTATAAATTCGGTGGGAACAAAAGGTGATCGTGGCGAGGAAGGATTCGATGGTCAACAGGGTTCCGATGGATTGAGGGGTTATGCAGGACCTGCTGGACCCAGAGGAGAACCCGGTAATTCGGTAAGTAGTTTGTCACTGATAGTATGTTACGAAACAAAATACACTCAGATGCAAAAAGAGTGCAAGTAGGGAATGCAATCTTGCACCAACATCTCAATCCCGCAAACCCGCGGGATTAAAGCAGTCAATCCCGCGGATCCGCAAAATTGCGGGACTGTAAACAATAGTCATACATTTGGTCCTAAATGATTGTAATGCAATTAAATGATACAAAAGGCATTGTACATTTTGCATTGGCCCACAATACATTGATATAGCGTGTATCTTAAACTAGCTGTACAGAAATTTTAACCGAAGTATACAGGGTGTTCAAAAAATATATTTAATATTAAATAAACTTAAATTTTATTATAATTTACCTACTTATTTTATAAAATTATTCAGATTTTGAAGTTTTTTAAACTTGTGTTAGTTATCTGCTTTTAGATACACTCTATATCAATAATTTTTTGGCACATGCAGAATGTACAAAGCTTTTTGTACCATTTAGGGCCATAGGCATGACTAAAAATGCATATTTTTCGAAAAAAACGTCGTATTTTCTTTAAAACAAAAAAAAATAAAAACCGATCAAATTGTTTTTTCTAGTTTCAATACAGATTAGTCGTACCACAATGTACCGTTTGTGTCCAGGAAGGGTTCATATTTTCATAGATGTCGATTTTCGAAAGAAATCAGTACATGTATATTATTTCGTATATCTTTCATTTTATTGATTATATGGGAAGCACTGTTCATTAAAATGTTGTATCCTATGTTATAGAGCCTGTTTCTCTCTACAATTTTGTGTCTCAGAATGTACCGTTTGCATCCAGGAAGGGTTCATAGTTTCATAGATGTCGATTTTCGAAAGAAATTAGTACATGTATATTATTTCGTAAATTTTTCATTTTATTGATTTTATGGATAGCACTGTTCATTAAAATGTTGTATCCTATGTTAAAAGGCTTGTTTCTCTCTACAATTTCCTGTCTCACAATGTACCGTTTGTGTCCAGGAAGGGTTCATAGTTTCATAGATGTCGATTTTCGAAAGAAATCAGTACATGTATATTATTTCGTAAATTTTTCATTTTATTGATTATATGGGAAGCACTGTTCATTAAAATGTTGTATCCTATATGTTATATTTTTCATATTATTGATTATATGGTGTTCAGTAAAATGTTATATCCTATGTTATAGGGCCTGTTTCTCTCTACAATTTTCTGTCTCAAATGTACTGTTTGTGTCCAGGAAGGGTTCATAGTTTCATAGATGTCGATTTTCGAAAGAAATCAGTACATGTATATTATTTCGTAAATTTTTCATTTTATTGATTTTATGGAAAGGCCTGTTCATGAAAATGTTGTATCCTATGTTATAGGGCCTATTTCTCTCTACAATTTTCTGTCTCACAATATACCGTTTGTGTCCAGGAAGGGTTCATAGTTTCATAGATGTCGATTTTCGAAAGAAATCAGTACATGTATATTATTTCGTAAATTTTTCATTTTATTGATTTTATGGATAGCACTGTTGATTAAAATGTTGAATCCTATGTTAAAGGGCTTGTTTCTCTCTACAATTTCCTGTCTCACAATGTACCGTTTGTGTCCAGGAAGGGTTTCATAGATGTCGATTTTCGAAAGAAATCAGTACATGTATATTATTTCCTATATTTTTCATTTTATTGATTTTATGAGAAGGACTGTTTATGAAAATGTTGTATCCTATGTTATAGGGCCTGTTTCTCTCTACAATTTTCTGTCTCACAATGTACCGTTTGTGTCCAGGAAGGGTTCATAGTTTCATAGATGTCGATTTTCGAAAGAAATCAGTACATGTATATTATTTCCTATATTTTTCATATTATTGATTATATGGGAAGCACTTTTCAGTAAAATGTTATATCCTATGTTATAGGGTCTGTTTCTCTCTACAATTTTCTGTCTCAAATGTACTGTTTGTGTCCAGGAAGGGTTCATAGTTTCATAGATGTCGATTTTCGAAAGAAATCAATTAATGTATATTATTTCGTATATTTTTCATTTTATTGATTTTATGGAAAGCACCGAAGGTTCGATTGACAACAAAAATAATTTAATTTTAAATATTCATTCGATTGCAAGGTCTGCTAGTAAACATTTTTAAGCTTAAAGTATCACAACACTATTTATTTACACTAAAAACTCGTAATACAAGACTAAAGTGTCAAAACGAATGTCAGTGTCAGGAAATAAATAAATAAATGTGACAACTTGACATTTTTTACAGCAGAGCTACCACTTGAATCCCCAGCGGGAAATTTAAATTCCAGTTAGTCGGCCTGGCGCCGAATATTTCCATGGTTGCCAACAATGAATTTTTAAAATCGCGCCTTTGATTACGTAACTAAAGGTTTAATTGATATCAAATATACTTACAAACTTAATGGTGTAGCACCATCCTCAAAGTATGTATGATCTATAAACGTAACACCAAATACAAATTTCTCGAAATTACCCATTACAAATCCGTCAATTTGACTATTTTAGGGATTGACTGGAGAACAAGGCGTTTTGGGACCACCAGGTGATAACGGTGATTCCAGATGGGGCGACAAAGGACAGCAAGGCGATGAAGGAGAGCAAGGAAAGAAAGGACCTAGGGGAGAGGCTAGGTCGGGGTTTTTCGAAAACCATCCGGATTTGATGCTGATGAGGGGACTGCCGGGAGAAAAGGGACAGGAAGGTGAAGAAGGACCACGTGGTTATCCAGGGGGTCGAGGTGATAAAGGACGACAGGTAATTATTGCTTGAAACGTTGCAAAAATCTATCATAATGCATCAAAACAACATCAAACAAACGCAAACAAAGCAAGAAGTCTCAAGTCTTAAAATAAATAATCAAATGCTTTATTTAAATAATATTCCGAATGTCGAAAACTGACGTATATGATTTTTTAAAGTCAGCTCCAAAACTAAGCTTTTTAGAAAATATATTTATACGAACTTTATTACTTATTTTTATCTGCAGAATACGCTGCCAAAATTTCCGGAATACAGTTCGGACCACCTTGTATAACAATCATACCGTGCTGGCAACTGTTACTTTTGGGTTGATATTTACATAATATGTGGAAGTAAATCGCATAGGAATCTTATTAAGTTGGAGTAAGAGAAATGCGACGGTGTACTGTTGCGGCTTTGCCGGTACGCCTTTCTCTATCAAGTAAAGTAAAATCAAGATCGCAAATCGCTTATTTTTAAAAGATTTGTTTCGAAAAGATAACTTGATAAAATCATTAGATATGTTTCTGAGCATCTGAAGTGGAATTATAAAGACATCATTAGAGTGTCCATTTTTTTTAAGGAGAAAACATCAGTAATCGCGATAATTTAAAAACTCAACTTTTTAACACATAACACGCCATAACCTAAGAACTTAAGAACCACTTCAGATGTTGAAACTTTTTTCTCTATTTTGAAGATCGGATCTTTTACGATATGTTTATTTAAACAAAAAATTCGATAAGGTTGTTCTTTTCCATTTAAAAATTTTAAAGAACCCATCCATTTACTTTTAGTGCATAGCAATTTTCAGCAATCGTGTAGCTTTTTATTTATAAAGATTTTCACATACTGTCTGTGAGGAAAATATAGCAGAAATATTAAGAAAGTTTTTGAAAAAACTACAACCAATTATTTCAAATGATTTCGAGATATCAGTTTTTGAATTCAGAGTTCTAATAGCGCGACTACTGTCTAACCCAACTCAATTTCACTTATTTTTTCCAAAAATGCAAGTGTTTCTAACTTGCACTTAAAAATTTTCAAGCTATAGGGCAAATTACAACGACTCGTTAATAAATAAACAATTAAAATATTACGAGACGTAATGAAATCGTGAAGCTGAACGCATGATGTACACCCTCTCCCTAGAACTTTCTACTCTGTAAAGTACTGACTGACCTGACTGACTGGGTCGACCGGTCAGCGACAATAATCTGCTATCCCCTTCCACGTCTCTTAGCAATGTGCACAGTTTCTCCGTTTATTTCATACGTTTAGCAACGTGTTTACTGTTCTCTCTTTGTTCAGTACATTATAAACGCATTGTACTTTTCTTACAAACGGAAATATCGACCCAAGACTAACCTTTGCCAACCGTTAGTATAAGGTATATGTAATCTTCGTTAATAAACTGTTAGGTAAGTGGCAATATAGCATTTTTCTCCTCACATCTGGTTTGTATATCTTGGGTCCTTTTGTTTTGTACAACAATGTTTGTCTATTTATATTATTTGTCTGAAAATACCCTTTTTTCAGTGGACGTATTTTATTTAAAATCCTATAAATAAATATCTTAAAGATACTACTATTATTGCACTGGCACGTAAGTTTAATATTGACATATTTTTAGGGAATTCCTGGTAGGAAAGGTTCGGCAGGATACAAAGGCGAACGAGGTGACGACGGACCTTTTGGAAAACAAGGCAGACCGGGACCCTCAGGTCCTCCAGGAGAAAAGGGCGATAAAGGAGCTCCAGGATACGAAGGAAGACTTGGAGAAGATGGATTCAAAGGTAGCAATTTAGTTACTTATTATATTATAGAACTAGCTGAACTAGCTCACTTCCTACTATCTAATGCTGAAGTGAGAGTTTTTTGAAATAGAAAAAGATTTAAGTCATTAAAATGATTTAAGTTTTTTTATAAAAGACGTCCCGTAATCCTGCGGTCAAAACATAACAGCTGGTTTTTATATATAAAAACCAATTGTTATGTTTTAACAGCAGGATTACGGGATGTCATAAGTCATAAAAACTACTTAAATAACTTTATATAGATTTAACGAATATAATATGACCCCATTAAAATTTATAATATATATTCGTTATTATTTTATAATAAATAATAACGAATATCAGTCCGGAAAGTTAGTTTCTCATACAAGTACGGAGTACACTTACAAATTTCAAATCACGAAAAACACAGTGACTGAAGAGTACGTCTGTTTTCCATATGTAGCTATGACATTTATATCTTTTGACTGCCGTAGATGATGTCTAAACATGAGTTCTGGATTTTCTGAATTTTTCTTTTATTTGCATTTTAATTTTATTAAATTTCAAATTTTAAAAAATTTTATTTATAAAACTTTTATTTATAAAATTTTTATAAATAAAAATTTATAAAATTTTTATAAATAAAAGATTTTTTTATTTTATTTCTTCATTATTTTTCTTTTATTAGGAGAGCAAGGAGAAGATGGAAACCCCGGTAGCCCTGGCGTACAAGGAAAAGAGGGCCCGGTGGGCATATACGATCCGCTCTTAGGCGAACCGGGAAAACTGGGCGTGGAAGGAAGGCAGGGTCCCGCGGGGTACCTTGGACCTCCGGGTGTATCCGGTATCCCAGGATTCCCGGGAGTATCCGGACCTATCGGTATACCGGGACCCCCAGGACCGCCAGGCCGACCAGGTTTTCCTGGAATAAAAGGTGAGTTGAGTAGTAAGTAGAGAAATAAACTTTACTGAAAAATATTATTGATTATTTAAATTTATACAGGGGTACCAAAAATTGCTGATCTATTTATTTTATATAAAAACTACATTATTTAAAATGCAACACCCTGTATTTTTTTAAAATAAATCGAAGGAGATTCAAATGCTCTTTCAAAGTATATTAGGGTTTTTTATACCTATCTAGCTCAGATTTTGAATAAAAAGCGATTTTTCAATAAAATGGCAATCAAGATGGTTGGTGTCGCCATGGCAATTTTTAGTGACAGTTAGTAAATTTTTTCAAAATCGACATTTGTTTATGGACATTATTATTTAGATTTATAACAGTTTACTGAAATTTACCTACAATAATTTAATAAGTCAGTATTCATTATTTTCTCAAGAAAAATAAAGCAATATCTGCTGGCATGGCGGAACGAATGTATATGTTACTAGTGATTTTATTTTGTGAGGAAAATTGTTTTTTAAAACTGAAGGGTTTATGCTCAAAGATATTCAAATAGCAATCTTCCTAATAAGCATTTCTTTGAAAAACTACTTGTCCTATTTTGCAGAGCTGGTAGTGTGGTTTATAAAAATCCTATTAGGCAGAAACAAACCTGTCGTTAGAAGTGAAGAAAATTAATTTGCCGTAATTGGCTATTTTATAGAAAATCCATATATGTCTACAAGTCATCGTAAAATAAATCAAAATCTACTTCTTCGTTTTCTTTGATAGAATAATAAATACATATTTCATAAATAATATATATTAAATTATTGTAGGTAAATTAAATAAAAGTAAACTGGTATAAATTTAAATAAAGTTCGTAAACTAATTTCGATTTTCAAAATAGCTACTAACTGTCACTAGAAACTTTTCATGACGACACTAGCCATCTTGGTTGCCATTTTTATGAAAAATTGCTCTTTATTCAAAATCTCAGTTGGATAGATATAAGAAGCACTAATATAGTTAGAAAGAACATCTGCTTCGATTTGTATTAAAAAATACAGGGTGCTGTATTTGAAATAACGAAGTTTTTATGTAAAATAAATATTTAAAATAGACTAGCAATGTTTGATACCCCTGTATACTTTAAACGAAACAATCAAAATTTTCAGCAAAGTTTATTTTTTTGGCTTAAAAGTCAGCAGAAGAATTCATTTTGAAAAGCAATGTACAGGGTGTTGATAATCTTTTTTAGTATAGCATGCATATTTAAATATGTATCTTTAAATATCTGAAAACCCAAAGTTTGTAAACATATTTAACCCTTATAATACCTAAATGTTTTATTTTGTGTCCAAGGAGAAGAAAAAATATAACTTTGTTGTGGATCTTAGTTCTGACATACCCTGTACATTTCAAAATAATTTTAAATTATGCACATTGCCTTCCCACATATATCCATAAAATATTTTGTTTCTGCATCTTTCCGTTTTCATATAATAAGGGTATAATCAATCGAGGCGAATGAGTTATGTCACCCTGTACAGGGTGTCCCATTTTCGTGTGTTTTACAGGGTTTCTCGTTTATTAGTTCAGATACAAAAATGCGGTTTTCACATAATTTTTTTTTATGAAACTAAAGATGCTTCATACAGATGTGTGTGTGTGATTGGAATAAATCATTAAACAATTTTCCTAGAACTTTCATTAATTCCATCTAAACTTTCCAGGTATTTCTATCAAAGGAGAAAGCGGCGACGACGGTCTACCAGGCCAACCGGGAAAATCCGGCCTTCCGGGCTTCCAAGGTCCCATAGGCTCCCTGGGAGAGAAAGGCTACGCCGGCGAAACAGTGATCGGACCTCAAGGCAGTCCGGGCTTCCCCGGAATCGGCGGTTTGGACGGTACGCCGGGAGAGCGCGGCGATCCAGGCGACAGGGGACCCAAGGGATTCCCTGGTATAGGGCAACCCATCAAGGGACCTAGAGGTCAGACCGGGCCTCCAGGGTTGCCCGGTTTCCCTGGAGACGATGGCGTGCCGGGGTCGCACGGACTCTCGGGCTTTAAGGGAGCGAAGGGAGAAGATTGTGGATATTGCTCACCAGGTTAGGGTATTGCTTACAAAATTTCATATACACTTTTCCAAAAAATTAATACAACCCTTTGAAATACTAAGATATTTTGATGCTATTTTAAGACAGACCCGGTAAAATTTGCAATAGAAAAATTCCTACAATCTGTTTAATTTCTACATAGTTTACTATTTCTTGTTCATTCCTTTTAACAGCAATGGTGCTTTGCAATTTGCAAATAAGTGGTCGCGACCTAGCCTTTGGGATTTTTGGTCAAGGCTGCTATATAGATACTATATATATATAAACAAGAGTACTAGATACTCCTTTTAATTATAAAATAATATTATATAATTAATATACAACCTTTGCTATACCGGGTGTTGCATCGTCGGACGGGACATAGGAAATCCCATGTAAATTTTAATGGGGTCAATTATTGGCTTCCCTAATTATTTTAGAGAATAATTCTATTTAGGTTTATTGAAGAGCACTAAAACCCACATTCAAAAGAATAACTTTAGATATTTTTGATTAGCTCGTTTACGAGTTTTCGCCGATTTTTTTTAAATATTTCTCCTTTCTTATGGCCCTGTATTTACTTATGAGCACCAGTCAAGGTAAAAGATAACTGTCAAATGAAGTTGTCATTTCAGAAATTTACCTATTTAGTGCTTTATTATTATTGAAAACTCATTCCTACATCGGAAATCTTAAAGATGTATTTATAAATACAAATTAATATGAATTAAAGTAAAATACAGTAATCAATTACAAGGTCAATTATAGTATTATTACAATATTCAATAACTTATTAATTTAGGTACTATTAAATTGTTAGAACTTTAGGATTTAAGAAGATTTTCAAATATTCCTCCATCGATTGCTAGACAATAACCCAGGCGATCATAAAATTATCTTCTTACATTCGCTAGTTGGCAAACTGAAATTCTATTGCATTCGGCAGAAATAGCATTTTTTAACTCGTCTAGATTTGGGTATTTTTTATCCTTGTATATCCTGTTTTTTAAATGGCCCCAGAGAAAGAAATCATTTGGCGAAATATCAGGAGACCTTGCTGGGCAATTTACTGTATGATTTAGGCCAATAACGTTTCCGTTACCTTGCTTCACATCTGCAGTTATTTATTAGGGTACCTTTGGTCTCAAATCTCTGGATATTTCTTGCGATTGTAGATTTTCCAGGGATCGGTCTATTCAGTAGTAATACAAATAAAAAAATAGACCACAGAAAAACATCATAAGCATCGTTCAAATTCAATCATTAATCTTATAAATATTAATCGAGCTTATTCTTGTATTTATATCATACTCACTGACTGTTGTTCTTCTAGGTCTAAATGGATTGAAAGGTGAGAGAGGCGAGAGTGGTAGACTGGGCAGACCGGGAACGGCAGGTTACGAAGGTCTGTCGGGACCCCGAGGATACAAAGGAATTCAAGGTATACCCGGACCATCAGGACCACCGGGACTGGACGGTCAAGACGGACGACCGGGATTGGCCGGACGAATGGGTCCGGCTGGACGACCGGGACTTCTACTTCCTCCCGATGGCAACACCAAACCGGAACAAGGTATTTTAACAGTGAAAATATTAATCGCGAAACAATTTCCGATGCACGTGATCAACTTTGGGTGACAAGCGATAGCTACAGAGCTGCCAGATTGTGATGGATTTATCAGATGAATCTTAATGTAAAAATTGGGAAACAACATATTTATTATATGTATATAATTTTTAAAGATTTTTACGTTTTATTTTATGACAGTAGTCACTATGACTGTAGTGACTGTCAGCCACAGTAGAAATATTTAAATTTAAAGTAGCAGCTACTCGCTACAAATTCAAATAAAATCTTTGAAAGTGGTATAATGTTTGTATCAACTAATCAAACATACTTCTCTGACTGCAATCAAGGGTAATAAAAAACCTTTATTGTCACGTTTTCGTTCAAAATAGTTTATCAGGAAAGCTACAAGCTCTTTGCTTCGATTGTTTAAATGCTTCGGCCTATTTTCAACACGCAATTTCAAGAAATGCAATACAAAAACTTGGTAAAAAATTAGTTCTTAAAAGAACTGTTTGTGCATGCTTAAAAGTACGACTTTTAAAAAAACACTATGAATATCGGCAGAAAAACAAGAATTAAGCTTGATTTTCATGCGTCCGTTATCCGTTATCCGTAATTTTTTTACACCAGCCCGTCAACAAAGAAAGATCGTACGATAACGGACGTTTTAACACTTTTTTGAGAAATTTAATCTGATCTTAATAAAAATATAATAGTACAAGAGCTAGCACAGTCGAGAAAATGATAATTTTAAGAAAGCTGGTTCTTTAATATATCTTTTGCTATGCTCTCCTGACCAAAGTGCGGGCCGTCTGGCAGCCGGTAGACTATTGCGGTTCACTATTGCGCATCACATCTATACAGGGTATTCCATTTTCGTGTGGTTTATGGGATTTCTCGTTTATGAATAGAGATACAATGATGGGATTTTCACATTACTTTGCTATTTTTTTATGAAACTAAATATGCTACAAATATGTTTGTCCTAGCGTCCTTAGTTCTGAAATACAGGGCGGATTTGTTATGCGCAGTAGTGAACAGATGTTGCATACAGATATGATGCGCAGTAGTGAACGCAACGTCTACCGGCATCGGCAGCCAGATGGTCCGCACTCTGTTCAGGAGAGCATAGCAAAAGATACATTAAAGAACCAGTTTTCTTAAATTTATCTCCAGAAAACATTGCTGGCTGTTAGCCAAGCAAGTAAATCAGCGAAATCGTTATGGAAATGAAAATATAAAATGACACTAATTACAATCAAATCGTATATCCGATAAACGAAGGCATGAAAATTACAATAAATTTAAAAACTGCGTAATTTTCTAACCAATCGAAGTCTTTAAGTTCAACCAATAAAATTAATATCGTATCATGGGATAACGGTTGCATGAAAATCAAGCTTTGCTGCCTAAGATTCAACAACAACACGATATTATACAAAATAAGGATTGACATTATGATAACTCTTTTCATTATAACGTTGCTGATCGCAGCGCAATGTGACCAACATAGCGATAAAAATAATAGCTTTAAACTAATAAAATTTTTGCAGCTTTAATAAAATATCTATTAAAATCATTTGCTCTATAAAATAAAATGAACAGCTGCTTGGTATTTTAAATTATACAACCATAGATTTAGGAAGAATATACAACCAATTTAAACATTTTTACCAAAATTTCATTTAGTTAGGTTTAAAGCCTATAAACCTATAAACCTTAAAATGTCAATTTCGATATCATTGATAACGTGCATCGAAATTTGTTTTGCGATTACCGTACATTGTATAGGAGGGGGGATGTTAATCACCCCGACCTTCATTTATGACGTATGACACTCTTTTGTTCGCAGGTGACAAAGGTGACTTTGGCTTCGTTGGACCTCAAGGCCCCTACGGTGATAACGGTCCACAAGGAATTCCCGGAGATTACGGTCTCAGAGGCACTCCAGGACCCAGAGGTGACATTGGTGACGATGGTCTTGCTGGATACGACGGAACGGATGGAAAACCTGGTGATTTGGGAGAAAAGGGTGATTCCCACGAGTTCCCTATAACTCTTTTAGTAGGAGATCGTGGATTTAAAGGATTTAAGTAAGTTTCGTTAAGAAATAAGACGTGCACGAAAAATCGATTTACTTTAGATATAGTACCATGTATCTAATCAAAAAGTAACGAATTTCTATACCTCTGTATCGGATTCATCACTCCAATAAAGTGCTATGGGTATTTCGCCACTGTAAGAAAATCTACAAAATAAAATAGTTATTTTTTCTAAACAATGCTGCGTTAATCCAAAGGGGACCAAAATTCGCTCGAGTACTCGATTATTGATATAACCGACATTGCTCGATTATGAACGAGCGATGCAAGTGACGAGTTACGAGTTACGAGCGACGAACGCAAGCGATCCTAGAATGAAATAAATTGAAATCTGATTTTAATCCCAAGCAGCATTTGGACGTCGGGACAACGTTGTGTCACGCGATCAAACGTCGGGACGCAACGTCGGCACAACCTCGTGCCAACTCTGGGTCGAAACGACGTTGGATACCGACGTTGGCTAGCAGCCTAATTTAGTACAAACTGCAACGTTGTTTAAAATCCTAATTCACAGAAATACAAAACTGTAATAATATGGCGTCTAAGTCGCGTTTTATCCTAAATTGGGATAATTATAGTAAAACTATTATTTTTATGATTTAGTTAGAGACATATGTCAGATGGCAGTAAAGGAAAACAAAACAAAAGTATTTAAGTGTGGAGGATGTTTGAAGATCATAATTATTGAAACACTTTAACCGACTCTGTAACTCGTTACACAAGGCAAAAAAGTTAAACGCAAACAACTTTATTGATAAATGTATTGTTTCTACTTTGAAAAATACTAATGGACCTTAAAATTAAAGAAGTTTTAAAAAATTTCTTGATTTTTTTTAGTAAAATGAGAATAATTTATTCGCAGTCGAAAAAATTGTTTCTGCGTGTGGTTTAGGGTCAAATATTTCAAGTTAGTTTATTCAAAAAGCAGGAATTGCTATTTTAGGAACGAAACATTTTCTTATTCAACAACATGGCGGCTTTCACTTTGTTGTTTTGGAGATTAAGATGGAGTAGTTCGAGTAGTCGCATACTGGACTAATAAAGTCGCAGTTCAGCCTTAACAGGCTAGCGATTCTGTAAACATATTTTCTGTCTAGTGACTCATCAATCGTATACAAATAGCATAGGCTAGACAGGAAATTTCTTGCTACGGAGCTTACAGAATCCCACCGCAGGTAGTATACTAGTCGCAAGATTGCCTAATTTAGTCATCCTAGAGTCTAGCTTGTGCCGCCCTCTATATTCTAAATAAACGAGGGAGTGGATAAAGTGTCGGTAATATATGTCGATGTTTATTTAAATTTAATTTTATATGTACCTTTCTTATGTCCCATTTTAATTAAGTTTTTTTTTATAAAAACAAAAACAGCACTGAACTGTCTGACTGAACAGAACAATGAAGTGAAAATTTAAGATTTAAGGTTATGGTTCAATACAGTTGCAAAAAGGTAGTGGCTCGACGTCCTACCAACATAAGAATAAGGAAATCTAAACAACGTTGGAATTAGTAAAACAGACGACGCGCGACGTTTGCATAACGTTGGAATAGGTCGTAAAAGTGACGTCGGAAAACTCTTTATTGCCCAACATTGTAACTACGTTGTCCGAATCACCTAAAGATCACTTAAGCAAAAAAAGGTTACAAGACAACGTTTATTCGACGTCGCAGAAGTTTTTACTTTGTTGTAGTACTAGTTCAACGTCGCAAGCACAATAGCACAACGTTACAACAACTAGCACAACGTTACAACAACGTTTACATTTATTTTAATACCCAAGGTACGGAGCTAACTATTTTTTGTAACTAATCCAACGTTGTGTTTAGTAAACATGTGGTCGCAAGTCGTGAAAATGCTACTTGGGATGTTACATACTCGATAAAAAGCCAAGCAAATTTTCTACATACATTGCAGGTACATCGACAATACTTTGAAATAAACTAAATCAAGCGATCAAGCGAATCGCTCGTCGTTTTTCGCTCGATTATTGAAATCGCTTGAAACTCGAGTACTCGATTATTGAAATTATTCGGTTTTTCCCATCACTAGTTAAAAGTCGTTGCAGAGATTAAATAATTGTTTATTGGCCAATAGCAACACGAGATTTTAGAACACTGACTTTTTCCACCAAATGCTTATTGTTTTGAATTGGTCAAATAAAATGTTAACGAAGTGTAAACTAATAATTAACCTAACCTGTTTATTGCAGAGGGCGAAAAGGAGACAGTGGATCAGCGGGCTCCCAGGGAGACGAAGGAATAATTGAAAATATCATTGACAAAAATGGAGATAAGGGGGTAAAGGGTGAAACAGGAGACATAGGTAATGATACGAGTATTGTTGTTACATTAAGTATTTTTAGGTACTGTGTGCGTAATAATTAGGCACTGTTATCAAAATAAAAATACATTTATAGTATACAAAAATAAGACAGCAACTAATACTAAACTTGTTGAACACCTAATCAAAATACACAAATAAAGGTTATGTTATTATTTCAAAACAATGACTAAAGAATACAAGGACAAATAGCACCCGAGACCAAACTGTGACCATTTTTCCAAACAGTGCCGTGGCACATATTTTTCTTAACATAGCCGCTTGAAGCGATATTTATATTTTTGATTGGTGTATCTGGTGGTATCATACTAATTAATTACAAAAAAAACGTATTAAAATGTTAACAAAAAGTACAAAACTAATATCGACCATATAGCACATATCAAGTACATATTATCAGAAAAATAAATATCGAATTCAATAAAAAAACGCTAAAAAGGTGTAGTGGACTGTTTATTTCCCTATAAAACGTAACTCCTGGCTCTTACTTAACATTGCATCTTTTACACTTGAAAGCTGAACAAATTACCATTGTAATACAGTTTATACAAAGTTCACTACACACAACCAACTATTAAAAATCGCTAAAATTGTTGCTGGTGGCCAGCTGATGACTAATTCGTTATGTCCAAAAAAAATGGCGTCTAAGGTCACAAATTCTGCTGCAGTCCGTATATGGGAGTTACATGTCCTTGTATTCTTTAGTCATTGTTTCAAAACTTTGAATAAAAAGATTAAGGAAAGAGTATAATGTTATCCATGTATTCATGCGTGGTGGGCGGAAAAAGGACTCTAAGGTGGGGATCCTTGACAGTTCTGTTTGACGATTCATTTGACACATTTGAATTTGATTTGAAATTTTGTGGATTTGTCAATCTTTACTGAGCTTATTTTATGCTATTTGTTATTTATTTTACTACTGATAGTTGTATAAAGGTATAGATGGAAATTATGGCAGAACTTAAATTAACAGTGATACTATTGCGATTTATCGAAAAAGACTGAAAAATGGTTGTGTAGCGTGCGGTAGATCTCGGTCAAAAATCGAGTGAAATAATGGGATAACTTTTCGCTAGTAAGTGATTATATTATAATATACATACATGTAGTAAATCGATCATTCATGAAATTCATTTAAATTAACTATAATTATATATTTTTTCTTGCATTTTTGCTTTTATTTACTACTTGTCAAAGATTAGATGTCAAAGAATTTAGATACGTCAATTTGACTTACCGGCTTCAGTAGCGTATCGGATGTTTGTGTTAATAAATAATTATTATAATTTATCTATTTTTATTAGAATTTTATATTTTTATAACAATTTTAATAACTACCAATATTTATTCACAACGTAAAGTAAAACAACAAATTATTGAGTCTATCCCACGTCTACCCTACATCATAGTTTTACACTTTTTAAATAAAATTAGAACGGCACTGATAAACCGGAATTTAAGTCGGCCATATTTGAGTCCCATCCTCGGTTGACCTATATTTTTTTATATACTCCATCCTCATCCTTAATCTTTTTATTCAAAGTTTCAAAATGAGTTCGTCAGAATGGAGGAACTCATTTTGATATGAGAAGAAAACAATAAAGATTTGGCGGTCGGTGGACCTTAAAATTAGGTTAATCTCTAGCAAGAGCTCTATAGCGTGTTTTGATTGCTTTGGTTTCACTCTTTTCTTTGTTTTTTTTTTCGCGTTTCTCTGTTTGATTAGTGCGCATCTCTCAATAGAGTCACAGTTTAGTTAGTTTTAGTTAATAATCCGTGAACATATGACGGTATTTTCTTTACATAGTATAGGCTTGGTGCATTCTCCTTCGGTGCTGCCACCATCCGATTAAACAAATACTAAGAGCGGACTAAACAAATGCACGGTTTAAATAGCGAATACACGAAAAATTTGTTATATACAGTTTGTCTGCTCGATCTGTGTCTATGAAAGGAATGCGGGCAAAAAACATTTAAATAAACAGCAATATATTTTATACGTCGACTTGACGAGTACGTCATCGCAAATCGCTCCGCCCACTCATTTTGTTGGCTATTGCAAATTTGTCGAATTTTTATTGATTGGACGCGTCGTCTAATTTTTTACGAAAAACATCGAGAGAATATCGTTTCCCATCTCACGGATACCACAGAACGGACAGACGTACTGTATGTAATTATTTTAAAAATGTTAGGAAGTATAATTTGTGAAAATTCTAAATATAAAAAGTAAATATTTTGAAATCTTCAGAAAGTCTAACTTGTATTATAATTTATTATTGAAGGTAATAAAACTTTTTAGAGGAGTTCAACTAAGGTAACGAGCATAGTTTTATTTTACGTGGTTTTACGTGCCGATTTTGCTAGTGGGGACTTAACTGGGACTATTTCGGCTATAACGAAACTTTTTTTTAAGTTATAATTTACATAATTATAATTTTAGAAGATATTCATACGTGAAATACTTTAGTCGGACATTTTTTTTCGGGAATTTTTAAAATCAACAAATAATGTTTAAAATCGATAAAAATGAACCTTCTACACCCTGTATTTTCGAAACGAAGCAGTTTGGTTTGGTTTGGTTTGGTTTGGAGATAAATAGGTATAAGTAAAAAAGTTCGTATAAATGTATATCCTCATTTATACGAACTTTTTTACTTATACCTATTTATCTCCAGAATATGCTGCCGGAGTTTCCGGAATACAGTTCGGACCGCCCTGTATACATTAATATTTATATGCAACCCTTTTACAGGATTCCGTGGTTTCGACGGCCCGAAAGGCCCATCGGGTACGCCCGGCTGGCAAGGTCTTCCCGGAGACCAAGGCCCTCCCGGCGAGTCCATACCCGGCCCGGAAGGTTTCAAGGGTTACCCGGGACTGTTGGGCGACGAGGGACCTAGAGGTTTCCCCGGAATTCCGGGTAAACCGGGCGAACCCGGCGTCGAGGGCATCAAAGGACCAAAAGGTTACAGAGGGGAACCCGGGCAAAGGATTCTTTATGGAGAGATGGGTCAGCCGGGGTACCACGGAGACAAAGGAGACCTGGGTGACGATGGACCGGAAGGGTATCCCGGATTTCCGGGATCGCCCGGACCGAAAGGATTTAAAGGTAAGTTATTTGTTACAATACCTATACCTACTTAATCGAAACGTGTTTATCAGACTAAAAGTTGATTCTCACTATACCTTCCATATCAGCTCACTTCCGTTTCCCTTCCGTTTACATAAAATATTATATCATTTAAATGAATAGGACAATGCACACTATCCGTTCCGTTTCCTTTCCGTTCCATATCCTTTCCTTCGATACATTTTTTTCGCGGACAGACTGAAGCGTATCGGAAACAGCGTTGTCAACTCCTTACATTTCTACCAGCTCTGTTAACATTTTATTGATATTTATTTATTCTTTTACCTCTTAATTAAATCTATTACTTTTTTCAAAGGATACAAATTTTAAAATAAAACTGTCGTTATGATATGAATTGTACAATAAAAAGTATGGAACTGATACGCAACGGAAGCTTACATATAGCGTCAATCTCAATACAATAAAAAATACGAAACGGATATGGAATGGAAACGGAAGGTATAGTGAGAATCAACCTTAAAACACATTGTGTCAGGTATAAAAAGCAAATTGTACTGACTGAGAAAGAAAGAACACCTATATTATATCTACACGGTGGCTAATTAGTGGGAGGATGTCGTTTTAATACGTTTTTGTAGAATACATACCTGCAGCTTGCTGAGCCATTTTCAATTAAAACAATAATATTAAACGTAAAAAGAGCACAAGAACAACAACAATTTATAATTTTAAACATAAAATTTAGCCATTTACCTCTTATCTGTGAGAAGTAACAACTTTGACGTTTCTTTGAAACAAATGAATGCAACTAAACACACCCATAGCAACGCCATTCATGGTAGAGATGATTTAACTTATCATTTATCTTTTTTTGGGAAATCTTAAACACATTTGCTTTTTCGAATTTCGATCACCTTTTTTATGCTAATACCCCACCGTGCGTCGTTGCAGCGACCCTTAACGGTGTTTAATTAAGGAATTAAAGATGCCTCAGTTTAAAGAAATATCGCTGTCAAAAAGTCTGCAATTCGCAAGATTTTAACATTTAACAAAATATATTTTTATCTTCCAACACGCCTTATTACACCAATATACCATAAGTAAACCAAAGTTGTTGATGATGAAAAGAAATAATTCTTCTTCATTAATAAGTCAGCTGATCATGGCATCTTGCACGATTAATTATTCTCGGTTCAATCAGTCATTGTAAGCAATGAATTTTTTGGAACATCCTTTATAATACTGCTGTCGAGTATCTATCGTAGTATTTTTGATAGTATTATTTTTTCAGTCAAAAGTGTATTTAAATACATCGGTGATCAAAAATTACCAGAAATAAGTTTTTTTTAATTTTCCCCTAATTATAAAGTAGGTAAAATACACGAAATTTGGTGATTTTTCACAAGGTCTGGAATTTTTTGTGGAGTTGAAGGAATACAAAAGTTTTTTAAGGTTTCGTCACAAAAATTCGCTCGAAAATTTTTGGCAACACTGTTGAATTATATAGTGTTTTATTGTTGAATTATATAGTGTAAACTTAGTATCTTATATGGCTGTTGGAACACCAAACGTTCCATCCCCAACTATATTAGTAACTTTAAACTTGTACTTTAGGACCAAAAGGAGCACCGGGTTATTCGGGAGCAACGGGATTCCCAGGTCACCAGGGTATGACGGGCATATCGATCCGTGGACCTCCAGGTCTGGAGGGCTATCCTGGACCCACTGGAGATGCAGGAGCGCCTGGTGAGCCTGGATACCCTGGAGAGGATGGCGAAAACGGACCTCCTGGTTTGAAAAATGCCAAAGGAGATGCTGGAGAGCGTGGTCTTTGGGGAATAGAAGGTAAATAATAATACTTTTTATTTTAGATAGACTTATATATTTATTGTATATAACTCATGTTGGCATTACAAGTTACATGAATCGACAATGATTGAAATAGTTATCAATACTATGTTAGAAACACGTAAGAACAACTTAAATACAACTATAGTGTTCAATATAGAAAAATAATACTTTTAATGATAACGGCTTATTTTCAAAACAAGGTTATAGAAATCTGGAGCTACTACCCTTACCTACCTGCGGCATCTGTAAGGGGGGAAACGATATTCTTTTCTGTTAGCCGGCAATTCATGGGCGTGCCGTAAATATTTTAGATAACATTACTTACTTATACAAAAAATTAAAAATATCTAATCAGGTTTATTTTTTCAATATTTTTCCACGTAAATAGAGGTATTATCCTGATAAAAATTAAAAAAGTAAGAAAAACAATAAAAAGTCAATGAAATCACGTAACTATGTTACCGATAACGACTGCACTGTTCCCTAAGCTTGGTCAGCTACCGTTTTAATCCATAGTACAAGAAAACATGGAAAAACTATTATTACCAGATGCTTGGTTTTCTTCGTTAGTTCAAGATTGCAAATAAGGTTGTTCATATGAAGTTGAAGGTTGAGTCTCAAAGACTCCTTTAATATCTCCGTAACTTACTGTGTTATGTTGCCTTCTTTTGGCAATTAGACCAGATCTTGCAGTAGTCTTAGGTTTATGAGATGAAGAAGGAATATTTAATACTGACACAGTGCCAAATTTTAAATTCCGGCCAGTTTTTGGGTTGTATTGTAGCAACCTTTGTTTCATTGGAATTTCGAAGCTATATAAATGTAAGCTAACCATTTTATAGATTTATCTTATCCTCTCGACAGCAACTGCTTAACCAAATCTTCTTGGAAATCCGAAATATTTTTGTGGGTGCCTTTCGTTTTCCGATTAGTGTTGTTACAAGTAGCCACCGTACACCCAAGCATTTTAAGCTTTTAAAACAAAGCAGTACCTAAACTTTTAAAACAAATTAATACTTGGTCTAGCCACCTAAAATCAATCGTATTAAATACTAGAAACTGAATTACGGAAAATGCCAAAAAAACTCACTATATAAAAACAGGCAAACTACCATAAAACCACGATAAAAACCAGATAAAAACCGTTCGATCAAATGCAGCTGTCAAGGATTTGATTCGAATGTGACGTCATGCGCAGAAATGGTACGTACCATAAAACCACGATAAAAACCAGATAAAAACCGTTCGATCAAATGCAGCTGTCAAGGATTTGATTCGAATGTGACGTCATGCGCAGAAATGAACCAATTTGAAACGAAAAATGAGCATACCATGGTTTATGTAGCTTGGTTTTAATCAATGACGCGTCCCATCAATAAAAATTCTACAAATTCGCAAGTAGGTGTCATACTCTCTGCCGCTTGTATATAGGTAGCGATCTATAAAATATATTGCTATTTATTTCAATGTATTTCGTAGTAAATTGGTCATACCCCAATATTGTGTCTGCATTTTTGAAATTCCTTTCATAGACACAGAACACAGATTCAGTAGACGTATTTAGCGCATTTTGGCGTTCAATAACCTTTTGATATATTCATTTCTTATTTTTCTCAAGATCACTTCTTATTGTTTCTTAGTGTTCTTGTCTAACTTGACATTATTTTTTACATTTTGCTGGCTCAACTTGCATTACATTGGCTCTCTTTGGCATTTTTAGGTGAAAAAGGTTCAGATGGTGCGCCTGGATACCCTGGAGTAAAGGGATTGAACGGTCAATTTGGTGAACCGGGCGATAGAGGTGACTTGGGATATCCCGGACCGTATGGATTGCCTGGACCCAAAGGGCTGTTTGGACCTACAGGATTTAAAGGCGAGAGAGGTGATATTGGAGATCAAGGTTTTCCTGGTTTTCAAGTAAGTATAAATTACTTTTATACCATATACGGAGTAAATAAGTGGTTCTAAAAAGGTATATAGGACATCCTATTTCAGATTTTTACTACATTCATTCTAAAGCTAATAGCAAGCCGGATTATACGAATTATAAATATAAAGGGTGTTCTATTTGAGAAAACGTAACATAAGTTCATATCTTCTTCTTCTTTTTTTTTCTTAGAAAAACAGACTACGCCACTGTATTCTACGTAAAAAAGTTCTATAGGAAACATACCTTTTAGCATTTAGAATAACAATCGGCCCTAATTGCAAAATTTTAAGACTGTGTAGTTCAGAAACGAAGAGGGCTATGTACATTTTGTTTACAGCATCTTCCGTTTGACAAAAAAGTGGGACAGGTTTTTACAAACCGCGCCCTCATATCTTTACTAATAACGAAGATACCGTATGATTTCACCCAAAATAAGATACCCTATATACTGCCACTTTGTACATGTCGCAGGCGTATCGAATAACTCGGCATTTTGCAAAAAGACTAGGCATATTATAAAACACCGGCGTTTTTAACAAAAGAAGGTTATTTAACAAAGAGCCTCTCTGTTTTCAGTCGCTTTGCAAAATGCCTAATGAAGACTAATCAGATTGCACAAAACATTTTACGCGGGATTGGTATAACCCTTATATAACTAACCTAAAATTATCCAACGACATTTTAACTTCTCTTTCAAAGATCTAAATTCATTTTATTTTAAAAGAAAGCAAAGTTCCACAAAGAAGCAGCCCTGTACACAGAATCGAATTACAGAGTATAATAATTAAATGAGATATTAATATTAAGGTTTTAACATATTTTGTATTTAAAATTATGATATTAATAATTAAAATTTAAGAAATAGGATTCAAGTTGTTTTCGTCTAAACATAATAAAATTTTGACATAAATAATTATTGTTTTTGTGTAGGAAAATATGGGGTATTTTTATTAAAGCGTAAATTATTCAATTTGTTTATGCTCATAGCTGACTAAACTTAGATGATTTTTTAATCTGCCTAGCCTTCGATTTGGTATTTTGTAAAATTACTGAAAACAGGCAGTCTATTTGCGGATAGAGAGGATATCATCATTGTTTAATATGCCTAATTCTGATTAGGCTTTTTTCAAAGTGACTATAAATAGATAGGCTTTTTATAAACATTCTTTCTTTTGTGTATAAAACCGGCGTTTTATAATATGCCTTGTCCTTTTGCAAAAAGCCGGCATACACATTATTATTAATGTTACTCTTAAATTAGGGAGAGCCAGGTTTACCAGGCTCACCAGGCAGACCCGGTTTCGACGGTTTCCCGGGAGAAAAGGGCGACTCGAACTTCTTCGGCCAGAAAGGCCAAAAAGGCGAAGCGGGCGACGTAGGATTGGAGGGTCGGGATGGCTTCACCGGACCCCAAGGTCCCAAAGGTATCAGGGGCGACGCCGGTGCCACGACGATCGGCCTTGACGGCCCGCCAGGACTACCGGGCGATGCGGGATTCCCGGGATTGCGCGGCGGCTACGGTTTCAAGGGAGAAGTCGGCGAACCCGGCTTCGTAGGTGAGGACGGGCTAATTGGAGATGGTGGAGAGCCGGGAAGGCCGGGAGCAAGGGGTTTGAATGGTATTCCAGGTGAGTGGTTAACGATTATCTTTGAATTGAAAGGTTAAGCCCACGGCCACACAGAAAGTGTTTTTTTGGGTTTTGCGTTTTTTGCGTGTCAAGCGTATTTTGCGATTTTACCGTTTGAAGCGTTTTTTTCAATTTGTGTCCATTAAAAACACGCAAAAGAAGCGACAGGTCTGCAGTTTCTATATATTTTTTTACGCATAAAAAAATATGTTTTGCCCTAGAATTTTTTTTTACACGTATAAAACTAATTGTTACCAGTAAAAAAATACTTTTTACGCATAAAAACTATTTTTTACGCGTAAAAATATTCCTTTAATTTACTACTTTTTCAACAATTCAAACTACACGTTTTCAAACATTTCCATCAAATTTGTGAATTTAATAGAATCTTCCTAAACAGCAGATGTTCTCTATAAAATATTTTTAGATAATATGTACCCTAAAATGAAAAAAAAATGCATACTATTTAATTTATTTTTATTGTATTATTAAATATTAGATACGTTCGCCTATGAGGGGGTCTTATCTTAGAAATCGCTAAAAACGCTACAGAAAACAAATTGATTTGTTTTCATTTGCGTTTTTTGTGAGATACGCCGAATGCTACCGTAACCACCGTAATAACAAGGCCGCACAGCTGTGACGTCACCAACTGGAGGCACAACTTTATTTAGCAACGTTGATAATTACCCGATAAATGTTCAAATTGTGGATCTTTTTTCACTCACCAGATAGATTTCGAAGTTTTAAACTGTCTTTTTCCGAGTTACTAAAAATATTATAGTATATAAAAATAGTTTTAATAGAATACGGAAAAAATCATACCAGTCAATAAATGTTTATCTCTCACTTTTTATCAATCAAATTTAATAAAGGAATATTTGAAGTTCACAATAGTGTATATATATGAGAAAAAAAAACAATAAAAAATAGATATTTTTTATAGTATATATTATGCATTTTATTGATATTTTACGCCCTCTACACCTACGGCGTCTGTCGTAGCACGTAGCGGAGTAGTATTGCCGCAGTTGACAGTCATCCATTTATCGGTGGGTGTGCGGACGTGGTAAGTGGTAATTATAATCGATAATAGAAGGGTGAAAAAAGTTATAAATCTGTAAAAAGAGGTGTTTAAACTATAAAGTGATTATAAGTGTGTGCAATTATACAGTTTAAAAGGTATAATGCCTTGGGTTTCCAAAAGATGAAATTACTAATATAGTTTTATTTGAATATATAATTTTTAACAAAGTTTTGCAAAGCCATGCTTCTCAAAATTCACAATAAAAAAATATTTTTATCAAAAATATCTGTGGATTACATTAAAAGTAATAACACCATTATTAAAATCTCCGCAATGTACTATTTATAATGCTAAGTTATTGTAAAAATTGTCATAAATTCTTCTAGAAATACACGTCGGAAAAACTACTGTTGTTAAAAAATAATGATAGACTTGGAAAAGGAAATAAAAGAAACTTAGACACACTTACAGCATAAATAAATACAATGACGATGGATAATATGAGATGGGATGTTTTTTAAATTTTATGTTTAATTATTATTTATTAAAAATTCGGTGCAATTAAAGTTTATATCCATTATATACGTATTTTATAAAGTGTATCAAATGCAATCAAAGTTTAGGCCTCCAGTTGATGACGTCACGAATAAGCTGTTCGGCCTTGTTATTACGGTGGTTACGATGCTACACGCTTTTGGTCGGGACACTCCTATATAATCCTGTTATTTTGTTTTAGTTGCAAAAGACGCTTCACGCTAAAAACGCAAAAAACGCTTTCTGTGTGGCCGTGTGCTAAGGAAGGAGTATAAAGATTGATTCTCACTATACCTTCCGTATCAGCTCCCTTCCGTTTCCCTTCAGTTTACATAAAATATTATATCATGTAAATGAATAGGACAATGCACACTATCCGTTCCGTTTCCGTTCTGTTCAATATCCTTTCCTTCCATACTTTTTTTTGTTTTCCTTCCATACTTTTTTTTTTGGCGGACTGACTGAAGCGTATCGAAAACAGCGTTGTCAAGGTATTACATTTGTACCAGCTCTGTTAACATTTTGCTGATATTTATTTATGCTTTCACCTCATAATTAAATCTATTACCTTTTTCAAAAGATACAAATTTTTAAAACAAATTTTTCGTAATGATAAAAATTGTGCAATAAAAAGTATGGAACTGATAGGGAACGGAAGCTTAGGTATAGTGTCAATACAATAAATAATACGGAACGGATACGAAATGGAAACGGAATGTATAGTGAGAATCAGCCTTAATGCTATCCATGTATTGATGCATGTTAGACGGAGATTGGGAAGGCTTGACAGTTCTGTTTGACGATTCATTTGACAGTTTTGTTTGACGATTCATTGGACACATTTGATTCGATTTGAAATTTTGTGGATTTGTCTGTCTTTACTGAGCTAATTTTATGTTATTTATTACTTAACCTGCAGCAATATAATTACAATATTTTTATTATTTAATTTTGAATTTCCAAAAATATTTCGTGAAACATTTTGAGAATAGTGTAGAGGATGTTTAATAATTTTTAAATTTTCTTAAGCAATAAATAATTAAATCTCATAAAAAAACATGTTTATTAGGTCCGAAGGGACAAATGGGAGATAACGGATTGCCTGGACTACCTGGTTTGCCCGGCGAAGTGGGAATGGACGGCGAACCCGGCTTCATAGGCCGTCCCGGTCTACCGGGAGACGTGGGACTGCCAGGTCCAAGAGGTCCTTCGGGAGACAAGGGAGTGAAAGGAGCCAGAGGACTGCCTGGAGCCGCGTTGCAAGGAAGCGCGCAGAAGGGAGAAGATGGAGATTTTGGAATGACTGGACTTTCTGGTAATGTTCATTTCAGTGACAAGAGTACTACTGAATTAATACCCTATGATCGAAAAAAAACGGCATCCAGTTGGCTTGGAAATGAACATCGATGACGTTACTCGTATAATTTTATATATAAAATGACAGCGATCTTCATTTCATAGCCGTAGCTGACGCCCTTTTTTCGATCATACGGTATAAGCTTATATCGTCTTGGTTACGCTAACCATAAATAGGGACATAATTCCCTTATGACATTGCGCTCTACCTTTTATAGGTAACAACAATGGAATACAATAGAGATTTTGAGATTGCTATAATATTTTTCTGTCCAAGCCACTAAAGGTATTTTTTATATTCCTTTTCGTAAATGGATTCAATAATAATAATAATGCTTTTGATAATTTCGGATCGGTTCGGCTTTTTCCGGAATTATGTCGCTAAATATATTATTTATTCAAATTTATAATTGTTTTCTTGTAATTTTATAAATACAACATAGTGTGTTGCATATAAGAAACTTTATTTTATATAAGGACATGTATGAAATACCTATGAAACATTGGAAATCGACGTTATACCACGATGGTTTTTGCAGTTCACAGTTCACACAGCTTAAGTTTTTTAATGCCAGTCAATTCACAGTTCACAATTATGAGGGGTTTAAGTAAATAAAATTTAAATTAAACTTACAAGATAGCAATAACTACTTTGAAAATGGACAACATGTTTAATTTATGTCAATGATGACAGGTATTGATAATTTTAATTCCAAATATCTGGAGAACTACTACTCGTAAAGATTTTTACCAAGAGACCTTCTCTACGTAAAAAACGTCCTAAATGTATATTTTTTTACTCGGTAGTTTTATACAGGTACGGACAAAAAGTTATTACTCTTCAAACCAGTTAAAAATTATGTAAGTGGCGCCCTCTACAAGTAGGAGTCATATTGACATCAGAATCAAAATTGTCATGTAAAAAACTGCCAGACACCAATTTTCATCCAAATATTGACGTTACTTCAGAAATTATTTGGAAAAAGTCGAAATAACAATGAAACTTCTACACCCTGTATCTCCGAAACTAAGCTTTTTAGGACATACATTTATACGAACTTTTTTTACTTATTTTTATCTGCCGAATATGCTCCAGAAGTTTCCGGAGTACAGTTCGTACCACCGAGTATAGAAAAAATAAAAGTAAATTTTAAAAAAAAGCTTGCATCACTGTGAGATAGCACACATCTCAGAATGTTTTCTTCGATCATGTGGTATTATATACTATATTTAGTATATGATAATTAAATAGGAATTAAAATATTCTATAAAAATATTAATTTGGTATTAAATCTTTTAATGAAACAGATAAAAAAATACGTTAATTTTATTATTTCCGTTACAGGTCCGACAGGAATACAAGGAGAACCCGGTTTCCCAGGACTACGCGGTCTTAGAGGCGATCGCGGCAACCCAGGCGAAAAAGGAATAGTGGGCGACGTCGGTTTCGTTGGTTTCCCAGGAGCTCCGGGCGAGCCAGGTCTTCCCGGCCTTCCGGGACTACCCGGGCAAAATCCAGAACCCGGCGAACCGGGAGTACCGGGACTCGATGGCTTCGGGGGTCGTCCGGGTATACCCGGTCAAAAAGGAGCCCCAGGTAAAAATGAAAAACATATAATCAGAGGGACACCCAATGTCCTTAAAAAGATCTTAATTGGTTTTCTATTTAACAAGCAGTTTTTACTGTATTATTTTTTTTCCATAGCAGCTGTTAAAATTGCTTTATATCTATCAAAAATAGTAGATAAAATAGTACTTTAACCGCAAGGGTAGATTAGATGATACTTTTACAGCAAGGATAGGTTAAAAACTTTATTACTTCTCGCACGTTTTTTAATTGCTTCCATTTTTGAAAATTTTTCTATTCCTTTTCATAAGTTATTCGGGATTTAAATTGAAGTAGTTTGGATATGGCGTTTGTCGTCCCAGCTTGAATATTTGTTGGTAATTTACTTATTTCGTTTTGAGCCATTTCTAGCTCCAATTCAATCAGCAATCGACACGAACGAGAATTAAAAAATATTGACTCAATACTGACAACTAAAGCCACAGCTTTATTTATTTGTCAAATTACATAAAAACCAACGCCAACCCAGCACAATATTTTTTCTACTCGTAATAAATTCCTTGAAATAATAATTTCTGAATATTTTTAAAACGTAACTCGCTAAGGAAAAAAATATTGTTTTATACACGACGATAAAATTGCATTATCGTAATAATAAATATAAAATGCCATTTTATCGTCTTGTATAAAAAATAACTATTAATGAAACTCATTTTTAGGAGAGGTTGGTCTCGATGGTGAGCCAGGACCTAGCGGTATTCCCGGCATATCCATTCAGGGAATAAAAGGAGAACGAGGAGACGGAGGATATCCTGGACGACCGGGTCTGGAGGGAATGCCGGGTCCACAGGGAATACCAGGCAGACAGGGACCCAAGGGTTTACAGGGAGAATATGGCTTCGCTTCAATCAACTTCAAGGGAATCAGAGGAGATGTTGGATACAATGGTAACTTGAATTTTGTATAAATATACGGCATTCGCCTTGATTGTTTAATGCATTCATGTGTCGGCGGTATGGCGCGGCCCCCAGGTTTCGCTCCCATATAACATGGTGGGGATTATAATTGCTCGGTACACTGCAAGTATTGTTTTTGTACTCAAGTCATGATTGTAGAAAACCCTGTCTTTTAATTTCCAGAATGCTTTTGATGCGCTGCTAATCCTGTGCTGAATTTCAGAGTCGATATTGGCCTTTTCCGAAATCAGACTGCCGAGGTAATTAAATTCCGCTACATATTCCAATAGTTCTTCTCCGATTTTTATAGCATGGTTATGATCTTCTGGGGGAGTGCACATGATTTTGGTTTTGTCGATGTTTAGCTTAAGGCCCAAAGCCTCGTATGCCCAGGTATATGTGTTCAACATTTTTTGTAATTGTTGTAACGTGTTTGCAACTAGAGCGCAGTCATCAGCGTATTGAAGTTCTGTGATGAATTTTGTACGTGTTTTTGCCCTGAGTCTTTTTATGTTGAACAGAGCGCTGCCATGAATATGTTGAATAGGAGGGGCGCTAAGACACATTCCTGCCTAACTCCTGTATTTGTCAGGAAGGGATCGCTCAGTGATCCATGATGTGACACTCTTGACTGGTTGTTGTTATGGAGGCTTTTGCACACTGTAAAAAATTTGTGGGGTACACCGAACTTTTTCATAATTGCCCAAAGTGCATCTCTATTTACAGAGTCGAAGGCTTTTGTTAGATCGATGAATGCAACATAAAGTTTAGACTGCTACCCTTATATTTATTAAAATTATCCTTCCTTCCAGGTTTACCGGGTTACGTTGGCCCCAAAGGAGACGCGGGCGAACTAGGTCTGGACGGTTTCGAAGGTCGACCGGGCGAAGCCGGCGAAATAGGTCTCCCCGGTGATTTGGGTCCGCCAGGCCGACCCGGTCTGCCGGGTCTCAAAGGTCCCAAAGGCGAAGAAGGCGACTGGGGAATCGATGGCAACGTCGGAGTTCAGGGCGAAGTAGGTTTCCCGGGACCGGCCGGGGACGAAGGCCTGCCTGGCAGGAACGGATTGACCGGATTCGACGGCGAACGGGGCGATAAAGGTCAGAGAGGCGACGTTGGCGATCTCGGGTTTCCCGGACTTGATGGACCGAAAGGTGAGTTTGCAGTGATAACTATTAGTACGAGAGCTAGCAACGTCTGGAAAACAAGTATTTTAAGAAAGCTGGCTTTTTGATACCTATATCTTTTACTATGCTCTATGGAACAGCGGGCATGTCGTCTGGCTGCCGATATACGTTGCGTTCACTAAAGCACATTGAAAGAAAATCCTATATTTTTATTTAGTCATTTAAATTGTAATATTGAATATAAATCGCACAAGTCTCCATAGCGCGGCGCGAATACGTTCCGCCTATAAAGTGAGAAGTCCCGAGTTGAATACCGGCTCGGGATAAACTTTTTATTTTATTTTCGTTTATATTCTGATAGTAAAGTATTAAAGGTGATTAAAAAACAATTATTTAATACTTTAGTATCAAAATATAAACGAAAATAAAATAAAAAAACAGTTTACCCCTTGCTAGCACCAGTCTAGTTCAGTAGACTGGTGCTAGCAAGACGACTTCAAGATTTTAGAATAAAGTGCTTGAATAAGCTCACTAAAGTAATCGCAAAACATTTTCCGATGCATGTCATCAATCATATCGACATTGACACTAAAGTCTATAAACCTGACTATATAAAATTTTGGCAAAAATGTTTAAATTTGTTGTATAATTTAAGATACCGAGCAGCTCTTCATTTTACTTTATAGAGCAAATGATTGTAACAAATATTTCATTTAGATTAAAGCTGTAAAAATTAGTTTAAACTGACTTTTATTATCGCTATGTTGGTCACATTGCGCCATGTTCAGCAATGTTGTCCTTTATTATATGACAATTATCCTAGTGTCGGTCATTATTTTGTATATCGTGTTGTTAAATTTTTATGAGTAATTCCCGTTTTTTGACTATTTTCTTAGTCTTTTTTTAAAAAATGCACTTTTAAGCACAAACAGTTCTTTTAAGAACGAAATTTTCGAGTTTTTCTATTGCATTTCTTGAAAGTGTGTGTTGAAAATATGCCGAAGCATTTAAACAGTCGAAGCAAAGAGCTTGTAGCTTCCTTGTTTTTTTTAAACTATTTTGATCGAGAACGTGACAATAAAGGTCCTTTCTTACCCTTGACTGCAGTCAGAAAAGTAAGTTTAATTGATAAGCACATTATACCACTTTCAAAGTTAATTTTTATTAAATTCAGTGATTATTAGTTTGTGCATTAATAGCACCCCTCTTACTTGTTATTACCACTTATGGCGTGGTAAGATGTACATCAATAAATAAATAACCCATAATAACGCTTATAATAATCTTCATAATGGACTAGTTTTTGCCAATATGTAATAAGTAAAATCAGTTATAAAACAAATAAATCAATTAATCACTAAAATATTAGTTATTAAATTAAAAATAAAACGTTAAACACTTTAAAAATAATATAAATAAATATGTTGTTTGTCAATTTTAAAAATTAAGATTTATCTCATAATTCCATTACAATTTGGCAGCGCTGTCGCCATCGCTTGTCACTCAAAGTTGATCACGTGCATCGGAAATTGTTCTGCGATTACCATATGTTGGAGCGAAACATCGCATAAAAAAAAGTTTTCTATCTTTCAATTTATTGTAAAACCTCATACCCAAGAAATAAAAAAAAATATATGGCTAGAATTTAACGGAATAAACAAAAAGTATAGGATCTTCTTTCAATACGCAGTAGTGAACGCAACGTCTATCGGCAGCCAGAAGACTGCCACACTGTTCCAGAGAGCATAGCAAAAGATATATTAAAGAGCCAGCTTTCTTAAAATAATTTCTCGAAAACGCTGCTAGCTCTTAGACTATAATGTTTAAGGTGGACTTTGCTCATTAAAGGGTGTCCCGATATTCCGCGGACAGAGAACTACTACGTATTTTTTGAATCAAAATAAGTTCATTAGATACAATTTGCCTCTATACAAAAGTGCTTCGTTTGTCTCCTAGAGGGCATCAAACTTTAAAAAAATAAACACATTTTTTCAAATATTTTAAGAACCGTTATTCCGATTTGAATGAGATGTTGAGTGCCTATGTTTTGCTAAGGGCTTTAACATTTGACATTCACAAAAATCAAGAAAAAATGCGGGAAGGGTTAAAGCTCCCCTCCTAAACATTCTACATTCTAAAACTACCTCCACCCCTACATAGACTTTAGTATAAATAATTTCCAACTCCACCAACGGCCGATTTTCTTTTCACTCTGTATTTTCAAACATTAAATACCGGTTGTCAATTTTTTTCTCCCCTAGGTCTACCTGGAATGCCTGGATTACCGGGGAGAATGGGTCTCAAAGGTCTTCCTGGATCGCCAGGAGATCAAGGTGAACCAGCACCGCCAGCACCGGTGGCCAAAAGTCGTGGATTCGCTTTTACAAGACATTCCCAGTCGCATCTCATCCCGGTTTGTCCCAGAAACACCGTGAAAATTTGGGAAGGATACTCGCTGTTGCACATTCACAGTGAGAAGAGATCCAGTGGCCAAGACTTAGGTAAGATGTAGTCATAAACCTGTGGTACTAAGAACAAACCCGATGTCAATAGAGAAATAATGGTAATATATTGTGTTTTGCCTTAGTACCACAGAAATAATGTTCATGCTTTGTAGTAGTTCCATTTTTGGAAAAAGAAATGTATAATACGCCCAAATTACGCCACTGAAGCTGAAACTTTTAGGCACAGAGTTATCAAAAAAGTTTGGCAAGATGTGGTAGGTCATGTTTTTCTTAAATAATAAATTTGGAGCACTGACATACATATATATCATTATATTAAAAATACACTACACGATAAGATTCACTACAAAGAACCGAAAAATATTTATTTATTGCGAAAATAAAGATTTTCATTTGTGTTACAGGTGCTCCAGGTAGTTGCTTGCCAAGATTTAGCACTATGCCATATTTGTTCTGCAACCTGAATGACGTGTGTGATTACGCCCAGTCCAACGATTACAGTTTCTGGCTGTCAACAACCGAACCAGTTCCTATGACGATGACTCCAATTTACGGAAACGACATACAGAAATATATCTCAAGGTGAATCAGTTTACGTTGGATATCCAAGAGCTTAAGTAAAGCTCTGCCAAAAATTAAAATATTAAGCTGAAATATATCACCATATCATGGTGGTCTTAAAAATAAAACACACAAGTAACCACCAAACTACAACATAAAAAATATATACACAAATAAACTAAAATTCCTAAAATAAATGAGAAATAATAATAATTTTTTACACACACCACTGGCACTAGCAGTAGATTGCGTTTGCCGTCGAATATACAGCCTGTTCAACGATCGATCCAAGCATCTTTCATCTTCGTCTTTTCAATGCTAACCGCGTCGATCTCGCCTATCTCTTTCTTACAGGATTGATTGTTGAACGGGCCGGGAAATCAACGAGCTGTTTTTTCTTTATTGTTTTTCGTGGTTCCAATTTTCGGAATCCTTATGGCCTCTAAAATTGTGCACAGCGCCTGACCGGCACAGTTATTAGAGAGATATCGGAAAACCGAATACCGTCATGCAGTATTTACGCGTACCTTATCATGGTTACGATATGCGCGAGTCAATTTTTAACGCAACACCCGGACAGCATATTATACCTCGATATAAAAACAGCCCCCCTCAAATATGAATATAAATCTTCAATCTAATACAGTTTTTACCTGTGACTGTGTTCTAAAATTTCAAAAATATAAATAACTGACATTAATTTCTTCTGTTATTTAATATTATAGGTGTTCTGTATGCGAGGCTCCTACCAGAGCAATAGCAATTCACAGTCAAACTGTTGAAATTCCGACCTGTCCAGTTGGTTGGGATGAACTATGGGTCGGATGGAGTTTCTTGATGGTAAGTTATTTTTCTGATTAATCCCTTCATTTACAGATTAGCGGAAAAATATTCAGTAAGGTAAATTTCGTTGCACGTCATCAATGACACCATGCGTCGTCTTATGGAGTTTGCTGGTGGTCATATTATGATGTGCAACCAAAGTTATTTTAATTTTTTGGCTATCCCCCCCTGTGACCCGCCAATAGAGAAGTAAAAAAGGCTTTAACCTCTATAAGTATGCCAATTTCTGCATTAAGTTCATCACATTGAAGGAAGCAACACTTATTATATTGACTTTATTGGATCTTTTGACCTGACAAACAAAACGCAGAAATAGCACTTAGGTACCAAATGTACTACTGAAATTCTCGCCATCTGACGGCAGTCGTACGCATCGTACGATCAAATAAAACCAGCGGTCTACTGGAACAAACAAGCTTGCTGCATCTATGTAACCGTAGCTAAAAGCAAACAAAGTAGGGTCCTATCTAAAATAAAATAGCATACGTGCGTCTCAAAAGAGGCTCACCCCAATAAATTTAATTTTTTCAGATAAAAAAACCATATTTGGTATATGTTAGTATATGACATAAATTAGGATTGATTATCGTATTCTTTTCGGTCACTTCCTATTTAACCGGAAATGACTACAACTTTTGATTTTTAAATCCCTTGGTATTTTTACTTTATTCGATAGAAAATGGCACTCTGAATAGAATGACATATCATACTGTTTGACCAGCGGATCTGAAGCTACGGAAGGAATGCGAGAAAAAAAAATCGACATTGCCACGTTTATCTATAAAATTGCAAAATTGCCAGACATGAACTATAAATTTAATATATTTTTATTATATATAATGTGTTTAGCATATATTCTGACGTATATTACTAAGGAATTTTAACGTAGTTCATATTGTTCGATATGTTTTATTTAATAACTTATTTCTTTCATTCTGTATAATCTGCTTATTATGAAAGTTGAAGATTTTTCAACGATATCTTTGGCAAACCGGCATCGCCGCGCATGGCCGCCTATTCATCGAACATGATTGGCGAGAGTACGTCACAAGATTTGTTACCACGCGGTTGCCATGGCTTTTACGCCTTTCCTATTCACTTGCTTTATCCCCAGCTTCAGGGTCTCTTCTGAAAAGAGTAGGAATATTGAATACTATTGAAATATCCAGTGGCGGTGTCATTTTTTTGATCATTATTACTTTATTTCATTATTTTATACCGGTTATCCTAAACTTTATTCCTATATTTTTCGTATATTTGATAGTTAAGTTGTGTTTTATTGTTTTGTTATCTTGTTATAATGTTTTTCGTTCATAGTTTTTAATTATTAATATCAAGCTTGATCGTATATTTGTATTTTAAAATGAATAAATTTGTTAAGGGTAAGACGCTACATAGTCAGACAAGAGAAATAATAGCTAATTTATATAGGTAAGTTAATAATAACGTGGATGAAATCTCATTTGGTTTATTTCATTGTGTTCATAGTAAGGTTTGCGATGAAGAAGCTACAGAGAGTTCGCTTAAGTTGCCGCTTAAACGTAAACTTGAGCGGATATTTTTTTATACCGGAGTTAGCGTATCGGCTATAAAAAAATCACACAGAAGATAAAAAAAGGCTGAAAACTAAACCCGATAAAATGATATCCAGCTTTGGAAAGAAACGACCACGTGAGACTGCTGTCGAAAAGCTCGACGACTTTTTCGAAGTGGTCAGGAATTTGATAAATAGATTCTATCTCGAATTCAAACTCGTCCCCGCAATTAGAAAGCTTTTGCAAAAATTGCTGGAAGAATCGAATTTTCGAAACGCTTAGGGGGTTATTAAAATCAAATTATTTTTTTTGGCGTAAATGTCAAAATAACAGATAAATATTAATGGAGCGGCCCATTATATTGCAGAGAGAGATATAAATATATACGCGAAATTCGAAAATATAGCCAAGTATTATCTATTTGGATGAAACATATGGGTAGACAATGACCTAACCTTTAAAAACTGCTGGCGGAGCGATACCATATCTGGTGTAGTAGGCAATATTGGATCTACTGGTGAGTAAAATTATGTTTTGTTTACGTTTCCAAAGTTAACTATTTTCAAGATTTTTTTTTGCTGGAAATAGTTATATCTAAAATTATGTATTATAGAAAAAAATATAGTTAGTACAGATATATAAATAAATATACCTCAAGACTCAGTTTTGATCATCTGCTGATGGCAGACATGGTTAGCGAAACGTGCGTCCAGTGTAAAATTAAAAGTGTTTTGGTGTATTGTACTGATTTAGTGTTTTATTTTACTGTGTAACATCAAAGGTTCCAACCCCCAGCTGTAATTATTTCTTCTATTATATTAACAACACAATAATAAGATGATTCAAAATATTTAAGGGAGCTTTAATAAAAGCTTTTAGTGTTTATCTGCTAACTCAACAGTAACGATTCAAACAGCATAAAGTTTTTTGAAAAAAAATATTAATCTGAGTATTATATTTATGATACACATTATTTTCATATAACACCGTACGCCCATGCCTATTTTATGAATGAAATTGGGCGTGTTTTGTTTACAACTGCGTTCCCCTGCCGATACCCCGTAGCTACAGATCCGTTGGTCACACTATATGTCAACTTTTGCCATTTTCGCATATGGTTTATTTGAAATTGTAACATGCGGTTTATATCGACAATTTCACTCGAAATACCAAGTGTGTGGTACCAAATTATTTGTAAAAATATGCTTTTTCCAAATATGCTAATGAGCCACCCTCATTCCGTTTGAAAAAAATTTAGATATGATTTAAAATACGGCGGTTTGGGCATCTTTAACTGGCCAGGACAAGACACTAAAAACATTAGAAGTTGTAGTCATTGCCGGTGAAACAGGAAGTGATCGAAAACAATTAAATACCTCAATCAATCCTAATTTATGTCATATAGGTACTAACATACGAAATCTCGTTTTTTTATCTGAAAAAAAATTAAAAAAGTTACAGGTGTAAACCCCTGGGTGAGCCACTTTTCAGACGCACCCGGTATAGAGAAGTAAAAAAGGCTTTAATCCCTACAAGTGTGCTATTTCTACATTTAATACATTAAATTCAGTTATCCGACGACTGGTTTCGGGAATTTCATTCTCATCATCAGGCCTCACTAAATAACCTCCTGTTAGAGAGACTTATAATCTTGTAACAGTTATACATGTATAATTGTGCAAATGCGGGCTAAAATTGATATTAAATATATTTTAGGGCACCGATGGTGCAGCGGTTGGTTCAACACAATCCCTAGTCTCGCCAGGATCCTGTCTGGAAGACTTCAGGACTAGGCCCTTCATCGAATGTCACGCCCACGGCAGATGCAATCACTACGCTTCGGCGTTGTCCTATTGGCTGTCCACTGTAGAAGACAATGCGCAATTCAACAAGCCGGTGTCGCAAACCTTGAAGGCCGGATTCCTGACGACGAAGATTAGCAGATGCGCAGTGTGCTTGCGCAGAATGTAAGTACATAATATTTACTTTGAAAGACAAACATTACTATATTGCTTAATTGTATATGTTAATACTGTACTTACAGGGTCCTGCAATAGTGCGCTGGGCATCTCTAGGTCCTATAAAGGTTGTTTAAGTGCATAACTAAAGTAACTTCGGGAAACTTGTATTAAAGCATTAAAGGGTGGCTTAATAAAGTGTGTATTTATTCTTAAATCTGCGCTTTTATTACATATGACTTTTTCAACTGTAAAATACCAGACAAAAATCATTAGGTGGCTATGATAAAAAAAATAGTTGTAATAAAGCGCTATATGCAACAAAATACGACGTACTATTGCAGCACCCTATGCACGTCTTTCAGAAAAAAAAACTCATTCTCCAAGTTATTGCAAAATATATTTTCTTTTTTAGCCCAAGTCGTGTGTCCCCTGCACCCCCACCACAGCAACCACCACCTGTACGCCAACCACCTCCACCGGCTTACAGTTACCCCAATCTTCCCTCCAACTACAGATACAGAAATATCAATAGGGAGAGAACAGGTAGAAGGAGAAGACCTAACACCAGGGTCCAACAAGGCTGATGGTGATCATTCAAGTGCCATTTTTTACGATATAGATAATGTTTTCACCTAAGAAGAAATGAAAATGTATTTTAAGTTGCTAGTAAGCCAGCTTAACATTTAAAAATCTGATGTTATTAACTGTTGTAAATGTTTCATGCATCTAATATATTTCTTCTGATTTATACAGGGTGTACCATTATTCCGTGGACAATGAACTACTTTGGAATCAAAATAAGTTCAAATACCAAAAATACATAGTACTTTTTTGTTTATGGAATATTAGGACATCCTGTGTATGTAATATAGCTTGGTGTTCCTAATGAGACTTAAATCATTTTATAACACTTAAAAGTGATAATCTTTAAGGTGCTATCAATATTTTTTAACAAATTTTAAATAATATATTCTTCTATAAGCATATAAAGAGAGCAACATAACTCTATGGACAATATAATATTATGTATTTTTTGTAATATATCTGTAATATTGTAAAAATTCTATTAAAATAATTTTTCTAGGTTAAGAATCGATCATGGTGATGTTTAGCATAATAATATAGTTAGTTCTAAGAAATAACATGTGTTCCAATGCTTCTTTTCTAGATCATGACGCTTTTTGTTAAAGGAAAATTTATGTCACTGCCATATACTGAAGCATTACAATGTAAAAACTTTAGAAATGAATGAAAATAAACGTATGTTCACTAAGAGTAGTTTGTTTTATTTTTTTTTATTAACCACCATTATTTTATCACATAACCAAAGACATAACTATAAACCAATTAAACAATATTTATATTGGAAACTAAAGATATAATATATTCTTCAAAAATGCTCATGCTTAAAAATTGCTCTGTATACTAAGCGTTCCAAAAAACATGTGCCATCCCCCCAGGAGATTCCTCGTGTAAAAATAAAATTTATTTTTCATATCAACATAGGTTTGATTCTACATTGTTTCGTAGTTACAGGATGTCGAAGCCTTCAATTTTTTCCTATTATAATTCTCTTCCAAGTGCTTTTATTGATTTGAATGAAATTTTGAGGGTAAAAGTTACATATAAGCGCTATATATTTTAATGCTAAAAAGGTGTGGACAAATTCACCAGTAACGTGCATATTATCTGACAAACGAATCTAAAACAGCGGAAGGAATTCGGGCAAAAAAAATCGATGTTGTCACGTTTAATTATAGAAAAGCAAAGTTGCTCGATATTACTTATAAATTGAATATATTTTAGTTCATTTCAGCATACATAATTATATATATGCTAATATGTTGACGTAGTTCTTATTGTAATAATGTAGGTATATTTATCTAATTAACTGATTTCGTTCATTCTGCCTATTATAAAAGGTAAAGTATTTCCTTAAGATAACGTCCCTTTAGGGTAAGCTGGCAACGCTGACAAAATTCATCATGGCATCCCGCATTCAACCAGTCTGATTGGTCGAGATTCTCGCACGTCTTGTCGCCATTACCCCCATAAAGTGCCCCTCTCTAGGAATAGTAGAAACAGTCACTACTATTGAAAAATCCAGTGGCGGTGTTATTGTATTGTGTTTTATATCTTTAACTTGATTTGTGTTTATTGTAATTAGTACACGCGTTTTAACAAATATTACTATATTTAGCAAATGACTAAACAAAATGTAGGTACATTTAAAGTAAAATAATATTATAAACTTTACTGGAAAATATTATACAAATTTCTGATATATTTTTATGAAACCCGCACGCTCGTGGATATTTTATGAATGAAATCGGTCATGATTTTAGAAAATTGCGATCCCCGTGCCGTTGCCCCGTTGTTTCAGATCCGTTTGTCAGACTGTATGGGTTACCATTGTAATATTTTTCTAAAAAAAAATCATGTGCGCCACTGACTTCTTTTCCTTTTAGTAGCAAATTTGTGAATGCCATTTAATAGCGATTTAAAGTTGTATCTTGATATTTTGTCCATTTCGATCTACTTGATGAGATAAACGCATTTTTGTCAACCACAATTAGTAAAATTAAAATAAAATTAATAAATTATTTATTTAATGTAATTTATTACAAATTTTATTAAACATTTTAGCATTGATTGTAGAGTGTTACCTACACTAAATTCTCCCCAGAAATAATAGTGTTTAAGATAATTACAAGAGACCGATATTACAATATTTGTTATTTAAAAAACGGTTAGTCTTTCGGGAAAATGCTTGGACACGCATGATTTATTTTGTTTTTATACATATTTTGAATTTTTTTAAAAAATCATACAGGGTGTTCCAAAAAGTTGGGTAATTGATTAACCACGATTCTGCTTAAACTGCTTGACGTAAAAAGCTTATTTTTGGCAAACGGATTTTTCGAAAGTCAAATTCCAACGGGATAAAACTACCTCTCAAATATTACCAAGTTATATAATAATATCGCCATATTGTTTTTTCTCATGCTGACATAAATGTGAGCAAATTTTATCCAGTTTGTATGTTAATGGAAATTCTTGCTTTGCTTTATAATCATCATTACAAATGATTCGACGCGAACGAAGTCGCAGGTACACGCTAGTTTTACATATAAAATGACAGCGATCTTCATTTCATAGCCATCGCTGAGGCCGTTTTTTTTTCGATCATACGGTATTTGATTATTTGGCATACCTGTTAATTGGTTAGTTAACTAAAAATAATTGGCGACACTGGTTGATATTTCAAAGAACCAATGAGAGTTGTAGAAAATTTAAATTTGACAGCTGCTTGAATTTTGTATAAATCTCAAGCCCCGTTTTCAGAACTTCGTATTGTCGAGCGCCAGGTCAAAAGAACCAATGAATTTGCACAAAATTCAAAATTGACAGCTGTTTGAATTTTGTATAAATCTCATTGGTTCATTTGCCGCGTCGCTGGCGACAGTACGAAGTTCTGTAAACGAGGCTTCATTGAAAACTATTTGACGTGTCGCTGGCTCTGTCGTTGGCGACATTAAAAGCTCTGAGAAGGGGCTTTATAGCAAAAATTTGACATCACTGAATTCTATATCGAAAACTACATACCTATATAAAAACAATCAAATCTTTAGAATAAATTAAACACACAGTAAGTATCTTTAACAGTCTATTAAAGTTGCTAAAATATAAATCAAACATTACTATCTTAGTTATTACTTTATATACACAATTCTATACAATATGCAGTCTAGACTTTATTGTACTAAGACACAATCTGTATGAAACCAGTACTTACTGAAAAGTAAAACAGATGAAAATGAAACTAATTCAAATGACTGTTTTTGGAATTATCAATATTTATATCGAATCAATTAAAGATATCAGTAAATTCTTCAAAAATGCTAATGCTTCATATTATAGCCTTAAAAAAGTTATTTAGATTTTGATTATATTCTATACCTACTTTCTACAACATTCTCTCCACATCAAAAGAAAAAACTTTAAGAAATATTTAGAAAACCCTTTTATAATAATATCACAAACATAAAACATCTAAATTGATCAGCGCACTTTCACTTTATAGAACGAAAAAATACCTCTACTTACACAAAGTCTTAGATTATTTGGCGTACCCGTTTAGTTCCACTTTCGTATCTGTAAACTGCATATGACTATCGATGATCTGAAAAAGTTCAGCTGGTTGAGGAATTCTACCGCTTTCCAGTTTTGACCATATAGGAACATCGTTCAGTGAGATTTCAAAAGCACCAGATTGCATCAGTTGGCCCTCGATGAGATTGGATAAGAAGAAAATCATCATACATGCGTATATTTTATTTTCAATACACCATTGCCACCACGAAGGAGGTTGTAAATTGATGTAGTTAAATATATTGACGCTTCCCAGTATACAAACTATAGCTAGCATTTTTAAAGTTCCCTAAAACAAGTATAAATGCACAAATCTATAGTTGAGAAAGTTACTACTTACTAGAATCCTAACAATAAGCATATAAAGGCCAGGAGGTTCATAGTTAGCACCATCGACAAGAAGATAGGGATACTTTTGATTTATAACTTGGGAATACTGATCAAACATCTTTCGGTAACCACAAGAATAACTAAAACCAAAACGAAAAGCATGTTGAAACACTTACCTTGAAGCTAATTAAAATTCAATTAACATTAAAATATACACATAATTTTAAACAAAGGTCAGGTGAATAGCTGTAAAATATATACGTCATTTTGGGATAATTAATAAAATGAAATAAAATAATTTTTTTGGATTACCATGGGAATATAATATTTTATGTTAATAATTTTAGTGTTTATTAGGGATTAAATTATTAAACACGAAACTATTAATACATTAATGTTAAAGAAAATGTAAACGGATGATGATTCTGATAAAAACTAATCTAATTAAACAAGAATTGAATTATATTCTTACCAATACAAAAACTTTAATGTAGGAGCTCCAACATTTTGGCTTAATTTTGAAACCGGTAAATCATCTTCGGCAGCCACCATGTCGCTGTAGTATAGAAAAGAAAGGCCACAAACTATTAATAGAGTCCAGATAAATGAAGCTTTACCATTAAATATCATTTTTGGAGGTAGAAAATAAAAGCTCCCTTTTAACAATTAGGTATTTTACAAAACACCAAATAATGACAAATACAAAATACAAATAATGTGACAATGACAGTTTTTCATTCCGATAGTCGATTTCAAATAAATAACCGGAATCCTATAATTATATATGATCGAGAATAATTAATTAAACTAGCCAATAATGTCTTTAACAGAGCTGTTTATGTGCATTACTCGTTTATGAACATAAAACTATTTACGAAATACCCACTACATATTAAAGAATATTTAAAACAAATTTTATTTATATATGAAGGATTGTTTTTCAGCATTTTCATATTTCTTCTATTTGACGTTTGACGTTAACAATACATCTGTCATCTGTCGATCTGTCTTTCAATTTTCAATCCAATCTTTTGTAGGGGTTATAAAAGTCTTTTTTTAAATTGGTTTAAATTTTTAAAAGAAAAAGATGACTTCAAGAACGGCTCCTCCTCGACGAGTACCAGAAACCGAACCGACTATTGCATATGTGCAAGCAGATGGATTAGTAAGACTTTTCACTATGTAACATATGCATTTTAACCAAACATTTCTTTGCAGGCAGTGATGAAAATTGTAAAGCACTGTCATGAAGAGTCTACCACTAACATGGACATTGCACAAGGTGCATTACTTGGATTAGTCGTGAACAATTGCTTGGAGATCACGAATTGTTTTCCTTTTCCAAAACAATCGGATGAAACAATGGACGAAGAAGAATATCAATTAGCAATGATGCGGAGATTAAGAAGAGTTAACGTCGATCATTTCCACGTTGGTTGGTACCAGAGTGCCGACGTAGGTAATTTCCTAAGCATTCCTCTATTAGAATCACAATTTCATTATCAAACATCAATCGAAGAGTCAGTGGTGGTGATTTACGATACACAAAAATCCGCAAGAGGTTTTCTTACACTGAAAGCCTATCGTTTGACACCTCAGGCCATTGACATGTACAAAGAAGGTGATTTCACACCTGAGGCATTATTAAAACTGAAAGTAGGGTTTGAAAACTTATTTACTGAGGTTCCCTTCCATGTAAAAAACTCCCCATTAACCAATATTATGATGTCTGAGCTAGCTGAAACAGTGCCAGAAGAAGACGGTTCCAAATTCCTGGATTTAGGCACAGCAACTGTTCTAGAAAATCAACTGAGATTCTTAATGGATAGAGTTGATGAACTGAACCAGGAAGCTATTAAATTTAACAGATATCAACAGTTGGTTAGCAGACAGCAACAAGATAAACACCGTTATCTGCAAAAGAAGGCACAAGATAATGCGGCCAGGTCAGCTAAAGGAGAACCACCACTACCTGAAGAGGACATTAACAAACTCTTCAGACCTCATCCAGTGCCACCAAGGTTAAATCCAATGATTGTTGCAGGACAGATCAATACATCAAGTCAAGCAATTTCACAGTTTTGTTCGCAGAGTTTGGCTAAATTGTACATTACTCAGGGATTACAATATGCCAAAGAAGCTAACTCTAACAAATAGATGGCATGCAACAATTAATTTAAGATCGACATTTTTACATCTATTAAAAATCATAAAAATGAACTTCAAACTATGTGTATTTTTCATAGTTAAAACTTAAGGTTTGTGTCTTTAAGTTTTACAGTGTAAAAATAAATAAAATATAAAATTATGTTTAGTTTTTTATTTTAAATATCACACATAGGGTTAAATCACTTAAAAGCTAAATATTAGGCAATGGGATGATGAGCACTATCTTGTAGAGGATTTTTATGATCAGACATATTTGGTTTTAACTCGTAATTACAAATTGTAACTCCATGTCTATGTGCTTCTGTGAATTCCCCTCTAAGTCCGATGTAATAAATAGTAGTCTGTTCTTCACCAAAATTTTTAGGAAAATGGATGGTTAAATGAGTAACATTGTTAAATGTGACAACCCTAAAAATTACATGATAACAATATTTAATCCTAATTTTTTTACTTACTTTGTAGAATATTCTAGAAGACCCTCTGTATCTTTCTGCATTTCAAATTCTTGATCTGCTGTTGTTACTACATCGTCAAATGTCATTCGCTCTCTGTTTTTGAACCTTGAAAATTTTCAGCTTTTAATCATTACAGAAAAAATGTAGATCTACTTACAGTCTCATTTTTGATGGGTGAGAATCTGAACTATCACCAATCACAATAACTCCTTTTAGTTTGATACTGCCTGTGAATGGTATGTTAAATAAGAGTTCTTCATCGGCATCTGATTCTACAAACTAGAATAAAGAAACAGTTTTGATAAATATCTACAGCTAAATTGTAATTATTTTACTTACGGATTCTCGGTTTAATCTATCCTCCCAGGGCTTAAAAACTGTTTTTCCAGAACCGTCTACCTTTTCGTTTAAACATTCCAAATCATTTGTGTTTATTTTCGTGTACAAACTATATTGGACACCCTTTTCTGGATCTTCGTGCTGATGATTAGGATCCCCGCAGCATTTACCGTGAGGAGCCATTTGTGTACCAGCAAGAATTATCTAAATAAAATCTTTAAATGTAAATTTAACGACTTTTAACTGTTTTTAACTAAAAATTAATGAACGCAAAGTTGCAAAAATCATTTTCTATTGTTTTCTATTCAAATAAAGTTAATAAAGTTTGGTTAGGAAGCCATGGTCGCGCCACTGGTGAAATCTATACGCAATTGTCTGAACTAAAATCCTAATTTTGTTATTGATTTTTTTTTTAAATTATATATTTTCGTCTCTATTGTATTTAAATATTCAATAACTAGCTATATAATTAAAAGTTTCATATTTATTATAAAGTTCTTTTTAGTTTGGAACATATGAGATATTTTTTGTCTGGCGCGAAAAAGTATTACACCCCTAATTTCCCGGGCGCAAATATGGCGCATTTCGACGTCTACGTCAATCTCACCGAAATCTCACCCCTGTCTGTGTATTGTCAGTGCGTCGATGGTAGATTTTGCCGATTAAAATTATCCTAGATTTGTGAAACATATTTATATAGACCGGTTTAAAATGTTTAATTGTGCAAAGGATAATTTCAGCAATCTTGATTTGAAGTAAGTACATTTAGTAGATAATTATTAATAAGCACAGTGCACTTACATAAAATTCTCATAATTTTATATATCTCTATAAAAGATATTATTGCTTTCGGAAATAGTTACTATAAATATTTTAATTATTTCCAGCTAATTTTGTGCAGTAATATTACATACAGTTGGTAAAAATGCATATTTTTTAAATTTTATCTCATTTTTAGCATATGGTACCGTTTGGGCTATATTATTTTAATAACGCTCAATAAAACGAGTCTTTTTTAGGTAAAATATAAAGAAAACTAAATAAATTTTAATGAATATTTATTTATTAAAAATATTTGGACTATTAGGTGCTTGCACTTGTATTTCAATAGAGGTCATTAGCCTTAAATTTACCCTCTGGTTACATACACTTCCCCCTTATGAGTTATATTCTTTCATTTTTAATATTGATTTGTAGAAGGTATATTTACGTCTTCAATTGGTATTAAATACTTAAACAATTGTGTTTTTCTACAAATTATGCAATAAGCTCGAATTTTTCAGTACTATTGTTAACTTATTAAATTATTCACTTAGTTTAGGTATATTATAGTATTTCAGTAGGATAATGTATTTCAGGAAAATATTTTAACTTCTACAGGGTGGCTCAAAAACGTATTAGCCGATATAAATGATTTTTTTAAATGGAACACCCTGATGCATTTTTGGCTTTCTTCCTGATCATTTTACATAATACCCTTGTTTATATATTAAATAATACTAAGATATTATTAAATATGTTTTTACTTTTTTTTATTATACCAGGTATTTACTATAGTTGGTCTGTATATACTTTCCTTCCTATAAATATTAAATTTTATAACATATATAGGGTGTTCAAAAGTATATGCCAAACTTTCTAAAATATAACAGTAATTTTTTAACAAAGCCACCTAAATAATTTTTGTCTGCTATTTTACCGTTATATGTAATAAAACGCGAATATTTACGAAACCACTAAAAATTTTAAAATATTAAAATTTAAATACATAAAATGTTCATTTTTTAATTTTCCATCTAATAAATAAATAATATACAAGGTGTTTCAAATAAAAAAAAAATGAAGAAGAACTATTTTATATTTTGGCATATAATTTTGAACAATTCGATAAGACATATTGTATGTATAGATGTATATATACAATTCGATAAGACAATTCGATAATTATAGCAAAATAAGTACAGATTACCTACAGTAAATGCCTAGTATATATAGTTTTGATTTGAGGACATCTCTGGTATTTTTTATTAGAAATACAAGAAATTTTTTTTAAGAAAAGGAAAAAATATATTTTTTATTTATTTATTTACTAATATCTCCGAAACTGTCAAAACATATACCGGGTGCGTCTCAAAAGTGGCTCACCCCTATAACTTTTTTATTTTTTTCAGATAAGAAAACGAGATTTGGTATGTTAGTATATAACGCATAAATTAGGATTGATTGACGTATTCAATTGTTTTTTGTCACTTCCTGTTTCACCGGAAATGACTACAACTTTTGATTTTTAAATGGCACCCTCGGTATTTTTTTACTTTATTCGATAGAAAATGACATTCTGAATAGAATGACATATCATATATCAACTTTTCATATTCTCGCTAAATAAAAAAGTGTATTTTAAATTTCAATCTAGAGTGATGCCATGACTATTTTAAAATCACAAAACACTAATTCTTAATCAAGGAACTTTGGAAAAATAGATTTGACCGTCTAATGTTATTAGGTATTAGTGTCTTGTCCTGACCGGTTAAAAAATACCCAAATCTTATTTTTAATCATATCTCAATTTTTTCAAATGGAACGAAGGTGTAGGTAGCATATTTGAAAAAAATTAGCATATTTGAAAAAAACATTTTTTACGAATAATTTGATACCACACACTTGGTATTTTGAGTCAAATTTTCGTTACAAACCGCAAGTTATAATTTCATATAAACCATATGTGAAAATATCAAAGTTAACATAATGTGATGTGTCATTTTATTCAAAGTGTTATTTTCTATCGAATAAAGTAAAAAAATAAAGAAGGTGCCATTTAAAAATCAAAAGTTGTAGTCATTTCCGGTGAAACAGGAAGTGACAGAAAACAATATAATACGTCAATCGATCCTAATTTATGTCATATACAAATATACCAAATCTCGTTTTTTTAACTGAAAAAATAAAAAAGTTATAGGGGGTGAGCCACTTTTGAGACGCACCCGGTATAGTAAATACCTAGTATAGTTTTGATTTGAGGACATTTCTTGTATTTTTAATGTTTTTTTAAGAAAAGGAAAAAATATATTTTTTATTTATTTATTTATTAATATCTCCGAAACTGTCAAAACATAATAATAATATCTTAGGATTATGTAAAGTGATCTGAAAGAAAGCCAAAAATACAATAATATAAAGGGTGTCGTTCATTTAAAAAAAAAATCATCCAGATCCGCGCTTACCTACACTTTTTGAGCCACCCAGTAGAAGTTAAAATATTTTCCTGAAATACATCTTATTACAAACTTTAGGGCTGTACAAAATTCCTAAGTTTTTTATTATAGGAGCTACAAATGCTCGACATATTTTTGCCGGACCCTGTATAGTACCTACATATATATTTCTACTTTCCATGCAGCATTCAGGATGGCGGAGCTTATGATTTTCAGTACACCTTGGATGTTCCATTATAGCAAACAAAACAAAAATCTGTAGAAATGATAACGGAAGAAAATAATGGAATAAAATCAGATACAAGACCTGCAAGCCATCTTCTATGTCAGGACAACTGGAAGTGGGATGAAAAACATCGTAGTCATGAGGTATGATCTTTAATTTTACGGTAGTTTTTATTTATTAATTTTTATTTTCACCGTTCTATTAAGAAAGTCCATAATTATTCTATTTTAAATAGAACCAACTGGCTATAAGCTTGGTGCATTTCAGATGATTTCAACAAATTCCGACCGCAGCGCACTCTACGGCAGAAATCAGAAATTATCAATATACAGGGTGTCTCAGATTTTAATCGGGAAAATTTAATATTCGAGATACCGGGTACCATTAGAATACCAATTATAACATTAATTACCAATTAGAATTTAATTTTTTTCTCAAGAAGTAAGCAAGAAAGACAAAAAAGTCAGGAGACAAAAAAATAATATTTTTAATTACTAAATCCAAAAATAATATTAAACTTCTAAAAAAGCAGTGGCGTGCCTATTTTTTCCTTTGAAATAATTTAACAGTGATGCCCCACCGCCGCCCCTGGCTATTAAACTTAAATCTAATTACATCAAATTAAATCCCATAGTAAGTATTATAAACGGGTCAAGTTATATCAAAATCGATTAAATCGTTTTTCAAATATCTTAATTTTTTTTTCTTTTTTAAGTAACTTTAACACCCTCTATCTCGAAAAGGAAGCTTTAAATCTTACAAGTTGATATGAACTTTTTCTTTTATTTTTGCAAGTTCTATCGTCTATTAAATTTTCCCGATTAAAATCTGAGACACCCTGTATAGTTCACGCCGCTGTCATGTCGATCGCATTAAAATAATATTGAAATCGGAGTTTTCTCATAATATTTAGGTGTTTTAGTTTTTTGCTAGTGCACTTATTGAGACTATAAAATACTCAGGTACGAGGTTTGTGTGATGTAACAGGATGTAACGCTGTTTCGGGTAGTAAAAAACAAGTGAAAAAGAATTCGAACTAGGCGTCTTGTTGTGTTGTGACAATTTCAAATGTTAATAAAATTGCCCAAAAAAATATTAACGCGTAAAAGGGAGCGTAATTAGGTAAACATTCAATAACTCAACTTTCCTGATATTCAACTCTCTCGAAACAACATTAACACTTTTAGAATAATTATTATATACTATTTTTTTCGTTTACTCGCCATTTAAACCCGTGTGTTTGTATACTACTCTACTATCGTTATTTACGATATTCTCCGGCAGTGGCAGCACCGGCGGAGATTGCACCAAGCCTATAGAGGATGTTCTTATACAATATGATCGAAAAAAACCGGCGTCAGCGAAGGCGTTGAAATAAAGATTTTGCTGTCATTTTTTGAGAATATAATATCGATCGTCATTTCCAAGCCAACTAGACGCCGTTTTTTCAATCATACGGTATTTCGTGGACGTAGAACTACTACTGTATTTTTGGAATCAAAATAAGTTAATTGGACACAATCTATACATCTATACAAAAGTGCTTTGTTTGTCCGTTAGAGGGATCAAATTTTATTAAATTCAAACGATAATTAATTTAAATTTTATGAAGCTTAAGATCACAAATAATTTGTGACACTGATATAACATTCTACATTTTTGTCGAATAGATTATTATCATATCACCTACTAGATTTTTACGGCTAACGTGAAAAAAATATTTTTTAAACTGAACATCAGAAAAATATATTTTTCTTCGCATTTCTTTTCACATTTTTTGGAATATTGTGACACCCTGTAGATGTCATAGGGCGTTAATCATAGCTAATAAATGGATCACTTTTATTAATTTTTATTGCTAGGTCAAACTAAAGGGGACAAATTTGCAAACAGCTTTGTTTCACCCAGATTGGAGCAATGGTACGGCTGCAGTGATGGGTACCAGAGTACTGAACGGTGGCAGATATTACTGGGAATTGATATTAAGTAAACGAATATTTGGAACCAGTATGATGTTTGGAATAGGTATGTACCTAATTCTAATAAATAATTTTACAAATGATATGGATATACAAGGTGTCCCAGAAATAAGTGCAAGTATTTTAACTGGTTGTATAGTTTAACCCCAGAAACACGCCTACAACGCGGTTTTTTCGCGAAAAAAATATTTTGAAAACTCGAAATTTTTTGAATTTTTTTTTAGTTTTTAGTTAAAAAACATAATTTCTTGATAATATGGCAACATAGGTAATAGATTAAATTTACAAGAAAAAAAATCCAGAAAACATCCAGTGGTTCTCAAAATTTTAGCAAAAAATCATTTTTTTTGGAAATTTTCAAAGTAAAATAACTCCGTTATTTTGGGCTTATTTGAAAAACGATAAAGAGAAAATACGTTTCTTTTATCGAGATCTCCCACCCCTTAAAATACTTGCACTTATTTCTGGGACACCCTGTATAGTAAAATATCCTGAATTTTTAGCGCGTAATGGCGTAAGCTCATTTAAAAAAAGTAGTTTCAAAATTATCTATTTCTTTCTAAATATTTGCAGTTAATTTATTAAGTTACTTATATTCTTAACTAGGTATTAAATGGAGACTAAAAAATAGTGAATAAAATAAAATTCAATATGAATGAGAAAAATAATAAAGCAAAACAATTAAACAAAGAAAAAATAAATTAAATAGACGAGCAGTATTATTATAAAGGATATTATAGGATATATATATTATAGGAACAAGAAAGACCAGCTTGCATCTTCAAGGATTTTTCAATCTTTTGGGATGGGATGAAAATAGTTGGGGCTTATCTCACAAAGGTTTGCTCTGGCATAGGCGTGAATGGTTCGAATATACGAACGCCTTTAGGGAGAATGTTACTACGACAGTGGGACTATATTTCGATGGATTAGCAGGTATGAGCATATTTTAGATTGTACTATTGAACGTTGAGTGGTTTGAGCTCAAACCACTTAACGTTACCACACGCTGTGATAGTTCTGTCTTTCATTTTAGTTCACAGGAAAATTATATATTCTGTCATTTTTTGGATGTCATCTGTCGAAATCTTATCTGATTCGTTAAACAGGCTATAGTGATTTTATGTCACTGAAGTCTGTCCAGCAAGCCCTCTAATATACTGTTTCTAAAAAAAATATATACAGGGTGGCGCACTTCATTCTCCTCGGTTGATTATAAGAAAACGAAAAAATGTAGAAACAAAATATGTTATGGGTATATGTGGGAAGACAATGTGCATAATTTAAAATTATTTTGAAATGTACAGGATATGTCAGAACTCTCAGAAGTTACCTATATAAAACACCAAAGTTATATTTTTTCTTATGAAACACCCTGTATTTTATCCTATATTTGGATCCTTGGGCACAGAATAAGGCATTTATTATAAGAGTTAAATATGTTTACAAACTTTGGTTTTTGAGATATTTAATAAGACATTTAAATATGCATGCTATAATAAAAAAGATTGTCAACACCCTTTACATTGTTTTTTAGAGTTAATTTTTGTGCTGACTTTTAATCCAAAGAAATAAACTTTACTGAAAAATTCCATTGCTTCGTTTAATGTATACAGGGGTATCAAAAGTTGCCGGTCAACTTTAAATATTTATTTTACACAAAAACTTCGTTATTTCAAATACAACACCCTGTATTTTTTTAAATAAGTCGAAGCAGATTCAAATGCTCTTTCAAACTATATTACAGTTTTCTATACACATCTAGCTTTGATTTTGAATAAAGAGCAATTTTTCAATAAAATGGCAAGCAAGAGGGCTAGCGTCGCAAGTTTTTAGTGACAGTTAGTAGCTATTTTTAAAATCGAAATTAGTTTATGAATTTATTTAAATTTATACCAGTTTACTTTTATTTAATTTACCTATAATTGTTTAATAAATAATATTCATTATATATGTATTTATTATTCCATCAAGAAAACCGAAGAAGTAGTCCTTTGATTTATTTTACGATGACTTGTAGATATATTATATTTTCTATAAAAGAGCCAATTACGGCAAATTCATTTTTTTCTCTTCCAACGACAGGTTTCTGCCTAATAGTTTTTTTATGAACCACACTACCAGGTCTGCGAAATAGGACAAGTAATTTTTCAAAGGAACGCTTATCAGGAAGATTCCTATATGGATATCTTTGAGCATAAGCCCTTGAAGCCAAGAAGCAATCAAAATAAAATCACTAGTAACCGTATCCAGTAAACTGTTAAAAATCTAAATAATAACGTTCATAAAATCATTAGATTTTGAAAATAGTTACTAACTGTCACTACAAAATTGTCATGGCGACACCAGCCATCTTGATTGTCATTTTATTGAACTCACTTTTTATTCAAAATCTGAGCTAGATAGATAAAGGAATCCCTAATATAGTTTGAAAGAGCATTTGAATCTGCTTTGATTTATTTAAAAAAATACAGGGTGTTGCATTTAAAATAACGAAGTTTTTATATAAAATATATCCTTAAAATAGATCAGCAATTTTTGGTACACCTGTATAATTTTAAGGAAATTATAACATTTTTCAGTAAAGTTATAATTTCTCTACCTTTAAACTCAGCACACGAATTAATTCTGAAAAGCAATGTACAGGGTGTTAATAATCTATTCTATTGTAACATGCATATTTAAATATCTTAAAAACCAAAGATTTTAAACACATTTATTCAAAAATGAAATAAAATACCGGGTGTGTGTGTTCCATAAGAAAAAATATAACTTTGGTATGAACTTAGTTCTGAAACACTCGGTATGTTTCAAAATAATTTTAAATTGTGCACATTGTCTCCCTGCATATATCCATAAAATATATTGTTTCTACATCTTTCCGTTTTCGAGGCAAATGAGGTGCGCCACCCATTATACAGGGTGAGCCTTAAATAAGTGCAAATATTTTCAGGGGTGGTATATTTCGACCCCAGGAACACGTGTACAGGGTTGTTCACCACATACGACACGGAGTATTGTAGCTAAACGATGAGATTTTTACAAATTGTAAGTTTTGGGTTCGATGAAGGACTATTAGAGGTACAATTTAAAAATAATTTTACAAGATACAGAGTGTCCCAAATAAGTAAAAAATATCAAAGTTGTATTTTTTTAAATGGAACACCCTGTATATTATTACATTTTTAGTTTCTACGATTAAAATAAAGGTAAATTTGATTAAGATTTATTATACTTAAACCTTACCGTTTTTAAAATATTTTCAATTTTGTGAAATTGCAGTAAACATTTTAAGGCTTCATTTCTCCAAGGGTATGAACGTTTTTAATACTAAATATTTACTGAAGTTTATTTACTGATCAGTTATTGTGTTGCAATAATAAAAATAATACTACCTTATATAGAGTATCTAAAAATTTATTTTAAATAATTATTAGCTTCAAACGGCAATAACTTAATTTTTTAATTGTTTAATTTAAATGGAACACCTTGTATATTTTACGAGAATCAGATGCACAATTTAATTGTCTATCAAATTATATTATACCATTTTTTACCTATCTCTTTAAGTTTCCGTAGAAAATGCATTTTCTTGTAATTTAGAACTTATTTATCAATATACCCATGGACTATTGACATTTTAGATTATTTTTAAAGATGTACCAAATTTTTAAAGAGTACAGATACTAATCGATAAGTCGATATAATTCGTTTATTTCATTAAAAAATAAAAAAAAACTGTTTAAATATTTGTTAAAGAGGATCAATTAATATGATTCCAGTATTCAAACTACATTAACTGAGTGTTTGCGTTGATTAATAATAATTGCTCCAAATACTAAAATACTGAATTTTGTATGGGCATTAGACAGTGTGATAAAAAGTAACACCTTAAAAATGATATCTCATTTTTTAATAAATGCTTATTTATAACAACAAAGACTTTAATTTGATAACTTATTATTATATTGATTTCTAACTCAAAAATCCACATTTATTTATAATAATTTATTAACGAACACAATTAAGTATGCCATTAATTAGTATATGGGCGGAAATAATGGTGTTATATTTAATTAATGGTATACTCTTTTATAAAGATTTAAATAGTTTTCTTTTTGCATACAAATGGGCTAGTAATATTATCGTTTTGCTAAAAACGATAATATTACTAGTCTGTATATTTTGTACATTTGTTGCTTTAAAAACAATCTAAAATGTCAATATTCCATGGATATATTGATAAATGAGGTCTAAATTATAAGAAAATGCATTTTCTACGAAAACTTGAAGGGATAGGTAAAAAATGGCATAATTCAATTTGATAGACAATTTAATTGTGCATCTGATTCTCCTAAAATATACAGGGCATTCCATTTAAATTAAAGAAGTTATTGCCGTTTGAAGCTAATAATTATTTAAAATAAATTTTTAGACACTCTGTATAAGGTAGTATTATTTTTATTATTGCAACACAATAAATGATCAATAAATAAACTTCATTAAATATTTAGTATTAAAAACATTGATACCCTTGGAGAAATGAAGCTTTAAAATTTTTACTGCAATAAACCTTAATCAAATTTACCTTTATTTTAATCGTAGAAACTAAAAATGTAATAATATACAGGGTGTTCCATTTAAAAAAATACAACTTTGATATTTTTTATTTATTTGGGACACTCTGTATCTTGTAAAAATATTTTTAAATTGTAGCTCTAATAGCCCTTCAACGAACCCCAGCTTACAATTTGTAAAAATCTCATCGTTTAGATACAATACTTCGTGTCGTATGTGGTGAACAACCCTGTATAAGGTTTATTTCGCTAAAAAAAGATGTTGAAAATCGCGAATTTTCTTTTAATTTCCCTGTATATTTTTCGAAAACTTTTAAGAACTGCCTGTTCACCGCAAATTTTCCCACGGTATAATTTCTTAATCTCTGATATTACCAAAGTTACGGCTTTACTCTATGGTTACGGCAATACAAGGGATGCAAATACAGAAAAAATCCGGTGGCTCTCAAAATTTTTTAATATAAAAAACATTTTTTTTAATTTTCAAACTTAAATAACTAGGTTATTTTGGACTTGTCTGAAAAATGGTAAAGAGAAAATATGTTTCTTTTATCGAGATCTACCAGCCCTCGGTATATAGTATGTGGTTTCATTTCAGGCACTTTAACATACTACAAGGACGGCAAATGCCTGGGCGTTGCCTTCAGAGACTTGCATCTCATTAAGGAACCGCTTTATCCAATCATCTCCTCGACAGCGGCCATGACGGAGATGATCCTGATCAACACCAGACGCGACTTCATCAATTTGCAGGACAGGTGTCGCGCGGTGATAGTACGAAACCTCAAACGCAAGCAGGACTTGAAGGAGCTGTATTTACCGCGCAGGATCGAGACTTATTTAGCCGAGGCTCTTGATGAGAGATCGGGTGATTTTGGTCAGGCGAACGACCATTTTGGCTACATTAAAACCTAGTAGCGTTAAGCACTTTGAAGATATTATTTTCCACTTGGCGAAAAATAGATGGGTAATGTAACAATTTTGTGATTTTTATTTGTCAGGTTATCTGTAACTGTAATAGAATTCTGATTAGTACAATAATGGTATCTTTGTAGATATATAAAGAGATCTTTGTAGATATATAAAGAGACTAAAGCTTTATTCAGAATCTTCAAATTAGTGGTTTCAATTATACTTTATACTTAAAAGTTTAAGATCATTCACAATGTCTAAAAAATACAATTAAAATTAAGAGTCTATTACACTGTACTGTTCGGGTCGCTCACAGAGGTCGGGTAAAGCGGGTGTGTGGCCGAAGGAAATATATATTGTATTTTAGAAATCTGCCTAAGGCTTAGCCCGATCCTGTCGTGTTAAGCCACACCCAAATTTCGAAACACACGTGCTTTGATTAAGGCTTGATTAAGGTTTATAGAGCTTCAACATTTGCCATAAAATAGCGAGCAATTTGTTACAAAACCATATAAATTATATATCACTGTAATCACAAAACTTCAATCTATTTCCGTATTTTAATGGAATTTTAAATTATGTTTTTATTTTCGAGAAAATTTAGTCCAAATATAAGGAATATTTGTTGATGTTTTACCTTCAAAATCTTAAATATAAAAAAGTTGTCTAAAAATGTGCTACAATACGGATATAGTATAATTCTTTATTTTTATTTTTTTTCTTCATTTGTGTAAAAATACCTAGCCAGTTTTACATAAAGCGTTAAATGCCGAACGCTTATTTTGCTACTTTTTTGGACTAGTGCGGTACTAACAGCTTGCGGTAGTAGCCACAGAGAAAGCCTAATAATTATCTTATGAAACAGTCAACTATTTCTTAACCACACGGATGATAATCAAAGTCCATAATGACATTACTCGCAAATTTTGAAGTATAAAGCTTGATTTTCATGTATCCGTTGTCCGACGATACGTTGATACGATATTAATTTTATTGGTAGAGTTTAAAGACTTTGATTGGTTAGAAAATATCACCAGTTTTTAAATTTAATGCATTTTCATGCCTCCGTTTATCGGATATACGTTGGTGTCATTTTATATTTTTGTTTCAATAACGATTTTGCTATTTTACTTATATTTTTATTAAGGTTAGATTAAAAATCAAAAAAGTGGCAAAACGTCCGTTATCGTATGAACGGGTTGCGTTGACGGGCTGAAGTAAAATATTTACGGATGAGAAGTGGCGCGAAAACGCTATGACCAATCAGAGCACCGCAGACCAACGTATCAACGTATAACGGATGCATGAAAATCAAGCTTAATTAGTGACAAAAGTTAAAAGTTTGTGAACTTTCGTACTAATTGAAAATTAGCACCACAAATGTTGACATTTTGAATGCTTACAATGAAATTAGAGGAACAAACTTCTACGCGAACTGAAACCACTAATTTATTTCAAATTCAAATAGTTTATTGGTACTGAATATCAGATACGGGAGTCAATAAGTGTTACACAAAATTGTCATTAAACGAACGAAATACGAAAGTAAAATTAAAAAAGATATTACAAAATTAAAATACAAAAATATTATACAAACAAAATATTTAAAAGACAATTAAAGACTAAAGATTTACAAGCTTTTGCAATTCAAATTTTACAACTTGCTGCTAATACTAAGGGCTGGCAAAGGTTAGTCTTGTTTCGAGATTTCCGGATGTAAGAAGAGTACAATGCGTTTATAATGTACTGAACAAAGAGAGGACAGTAAACACGTTGCCAAACGTATAAAATAAACCGAGAAACTGTGCACATCGCTAAGAGACGTGGAAGGGGATATAGCAGATTTATCGCAGTTGACCGGTCGACCCAATCAATACCTCTGTCAGAACTTAAAGTTCTAGGGAAATGTGTACGTCATGCGTTCAGATTCACGATTTAATTACGTCTCGTGATACTTGATTTGTTTATTTGTTAACGAGTTATTATACCAGGTGCGTCTCAAAAGTGGCTCACCCCCTATAACTTTTTTATTTTTTCAGATATGAAAACGATATTTGGTATGTTAGTATATGACATAAATTAGGATTTATTGACGTATTCAATTGTTTTTGGCCACTTCCTGTTTCACCGGAAATCACTACAACTTTTGATATTTAAATGGCACCCTCCGTATATTTTTACTTTATTCAGCAGAAACCTTGCTTAATAACCTAACCAAATATACTGAGGGTGCCATTTAAAAATCAAAAGTTGTAGTCATTTCCGGTGAAACAGGTAGTAAAAACAAATGAATACGTCAATCAATTCTAATTTACGTCATATACTAACACACCAAATTTCGTTTTTTTATCTGAAAAAGTAAAAAAGTTATAGGGGTGAGCCACTTTTGAGACGCACCCGGTATAGTATCAATAGAAAGTATAAGTAGAGAAAAAAATTATTGAAATACATTTTTAAACCAATAGATGGTTCGTCTTAACCCATAATATTTGTTTTAAAAATTAGTGTTTAGATTATATTATAGTATATTTAACAAAACTTTGGTTGCACGTCCTCAATGACACCATGCGCATGCGTCATCTTATGGAGTTTGCTGGTAGTCGTATTATGATGTGTAACCAAAGTTTTGTTAAATATACTATATGTATACAACTTTGAATTATGAAATATATTTTTATGTATAGATAATTTCAATTGAATTTTCTTACTACAGAAAGCACTCCATTAATATATTTAATGTATAAAATTTCTCAACTGTATAAATATGACAAAATATATGTTTCATTCCATTGTATATAAGTAAGATAATGAATTTTTTGGGGCACAAGCCAGTGGTGATATGTTACCTATATTAGCTATTAGACTATTTAGACATTATTATTAAGTTGCAATTTACAAAATCTCTTTAAAAATATACATTATTAAGTTTAATAAAAAATAACCATCCTTGAGAGATATAGAAATGATTAAATAAAAATGAAACATTAAATTGAAGTTTAAAAAATCTTAGTAAAAATTAGATTTGTTTCAATTTAGCGAATAAACTTTTATGAACGCATCTTGGAATTTATAGTTTTATACAGGGTGTAAATAAATAAGTGTAAAAAATAGTATTTTTTGCACTTTTTAAAAATTGTTTTTTTTTCGTTCATACGGTATATAAGCTGCTTAAATAGCCACATCACTTACTATGTTTTTATCTTTTAACTCGTTTTGATATTATATCCTCTGTATATAAATAACTTTCAGTTTATAAACTATTTTGTCTCAACACTTCTTTTGCGTTGCGTATATTTATTTACACCTTTTATATCATACAAATTATAATATATATAGTACTATTCTTTTAAAAGTTCCTCAATATGGCCGACCTAGTTACGAAAATTGGTAATTTTTTTTTAATGAAAAATAAGTTGGCGTTAGTGAATTCAGAAATTGATTTACTCTTTGGTTAACAATAATGTTTTTCAGGATTGTCAAGTTGACGTTAAAGTTAGGTTATTAGGTGGTTGTCATAAATAAAAACATAGATTATTGAAATTATTTAATAAGAATAAAGGTATTTTACCGCAGATCCGAAGAGATTTTACTTAAAGGTATTTTATAAACTTTCTCAGTCAGAATATTAACTCCCCTGTTTCTTATATTTCAGTTAAAGGGACATAAGAACTATAGGAAGTGAATTTTTGTTTTCATGTTTTGATGATATCTGAGAGTTCCTAGAATTATCAAGATTATTGAATAAAAATAGTTGTTTAATAAGTGAAATTAATAGAAGACTTGGAAATAGGATGATGCTTTTCATGTTATAGTTGATAGATCACCCCATTACTCTTAATTTGTTTTTATTTCAGTACAGTTAATCACAAATTGAATTGATGTGTGCAAAAACAGCTATATATACTCAAACATCTTATTTAAATAGTTCTTTTATATACTGTTAAACTGTATCAACTACAAAGTATTTAGCAAAAAATTATAAAGTAATAAATTTTGTAGATATAATTTATGAAAATTTATAATATATAAAGATTAGAACACAATCCTCTGAAGGAAAAAGAAATACTCAAAAACTCATTACATATACTTTATTAAAAATAACAACATACAAAAACATCCATGCAAACTGTAATAATCAGAACGTTATCCACATTATACCTTTATTAAATTTGTGTCCACACTCCTGTCAGGAAAGCCAGAAATGTTTGTTTAAATATTAACTTATTTTAAATTGTCAGAAACACATCAGAATATATCACAACCACAACTATAGGTTAATCAGTACTAAATTTTATACCTAGTAAGTGATGTGTTAACTAACAAGTATATGATAAAAAACAATTATTAATATAGAGTGTACTATACAATGTCCTGCTTATTTATGAAATGATTCCCTTCAAATGTGAGGAATACCAGTAAAATAAAACATAATTTTTGGTTTGGTTTGGTGTTTGATATTCTGACTACATCTATTACAAACCTTAAGTGCTTTTAGTGAGTAACTGTATTTTTTATTATTCTTTGTGTATCCTGTAAAGTAATATATATATATATATATATATATATATATATATATATATATATATATATATATATATATATATATATATATATATATATATATATATTTCAAGAAATATAAAAACAATGCAATAGATATCAAACAGATTCATAAAAACTACTTACAATTATTGTACATAATTATATATTTCAAGTGTTATTTGATGTTTGGTCCCATTACCAACATTACCTTATTTAGGTCTTCTCTACTAACTCAACTTTTAAACCTGTTTTAAACCTTCTTTATATTTTAAAACTGATTTACAACAATCTGTAATGCCCGCGCTGTTTCCTGAAATATAAGTTTTAATCTATTTATTATCATTTAGTACATATTACAAACCTGAAAATTACTGATACGAGGAAACTTCTCAAAATAATTAGAGACCTTTTTACAAACATCTGGACTAATTTATTTTCACGAATTTGTGAACGAGTCAATGTTTTCGAATACGTTTTTAAGCGTTTTACACATTTTGAATATCTTCCAGCCTATTCGTCAATTCTTGATCGGTGAAAGGATTATTTATAACTATATAATTAGTACTGCAGGTTGCAGGTTAAATAAAAGAACAAAATCAAGTAGAATTTGTGAATAAAAACTGGAAAAATAATGAAAATATTTAGAAAAAGGAACCGTACACGTCAATGTCAGCCAAGTGTCAGAGTTCAATTGGATTTACCACAGATTATCACTTCGAACGATTTGAAGTACAGTCGATTCTAGTTTAGAGATTTTCGTTTTTTAAGCCTCCCATACTGAAGTCCGCCATATTGGGAAGTTTTAAATGAATACAAGTATAGCAATATATAAGTAATTAATAAAATTATGCTCTACTTTTGTAATATACTGATATTTATTAAATTAAACATGTAGATACGAGTATGTGTACGTCTCTAGTCACATTTTGTGATATTTTCTTTATATTTTATTTTGTTTTATTTCTACACCAATGTACTTGGCCATACGTGTGCAATTTTTGTAAATAGATTTGTTATCAATAAATAAAACCCCACAAAGCAACAGTTGTTTGAAATTCTTTATTAAAAAGAAGCATTTTACATTTCTCGTACTAAAATAAATTTTATAGTTATAAATAAAACATTACACACATTTCCTACATAAATTACATATTTCCTTTTAGGTCTGGAATATTAAACAGGAGCGTTACATATTTAATTTTGTACCCTGAAAATAAATTCAGTTATTCTTAGTGTCAAAAAATTAAACAAATTTTTATTATGAGATTTACATTCAGTGTACAAGACTGTGTAGTCCAGTAAATGAAGGTTGAAACTACGACCTAATTCGTCGACCTGGACTTTGTGTAGGCGGATTGTGTACCTTTTGGGGAGATGGGGAGTAGTTTAAGGGGAAAAAGTTGTAACACCGTGCTCGGCCAGCTTTGGCCGAAAAAATGGCCCCAAATGGTCTAAAAATCAGTTTTTCGCAAATATCTGCCAAAATATGCATTTTACAAAATTTTCCTAGAAAGAAAAAATGAATCTTAGGTAATAATAATAATAATAGCTCCCGTATATAGCGTTTAATGCCTTGGGAGTAGCAAGGTACAGCTTCCCATGCTAGAGCCGTTCGGTATACAAGGAAGGTAATGTAGCTAGTACTACGCTTCAACCGCCTATTATTACCTCAGGATTGTGAATCCCAGGTACTCATTTAAGGCTGAGTCGATCTAGATACCCAAACTATTTTTATTTTAATAAAAATAGTCGGCTGATGAAAGGCCGGGTGTAGGATTCGAACCCACTACCTTGAGATTGGTAGACGAGAGCCTGTACCTCTACGCCACCGAGCACCTCAAAAAACAATTGTTTAATAACTTGGCTAAAATTTAATATTTTTTGATGATTCAAAGTTCATTTAAAAGGTAGAATCAACAGCTATTACATTTTCGAACTTATTTTTCGAACTGTCATTTTATAATAATAAAAAAACCGGGCAAACATTTCTTAGCCTAAACATCTTTACAAACTTACTCATATTTTCATTAATAATAGCTTATTTGTCAAGATATTTTGTGCTTAAAGAGACTCTAAGAACAACGGTTAAAAAATCTTGACAAATAAGCTATTATCAGTGGAAATATGAATACGTTTCTAAAAATTTGAAAATTTTTGGGTTAAGGAATGTTTGCCTGGTTTTTGTATTATCATAAAATATGACAAAATTTAAACAGTTCCAAAATGTGATAGCTGTTGATTCTACCTTCTAGATGAACTTTGAATCATCAAAAAATATTAAATTTTAGCGGAGTTATTAAACAATTTGTCCAATCAATGAATGATACGCTTTTGAAGACTATCTTCGGAGCGTTAATGACTAAGAAAATTCAGGGATCTTCGAAGCGGAATACTAGTTCTACCTAAAAAATGATACAGACCATTTTTGTAGGCAATTACCTAAGCTTCATCTTTGATTTCAATAAAAATTCTGTAAATTGCATATTTAAGCAGATATTTGCGAAAAACTAATATTTGGGCCATTTGGGGCCAATTTTTTTGGCTAAGTACGGGGTTACAATTTTTCCCCTAAAGCTACTGTCCAAGATACACAATCCGTCTAAAAAGTCAAGGTCGACGGATTACGCCGAGACTTGGGTCTTTTCATGTCCTTATTTACTGGACAGATGTATGAATATAAAGTTGGTAATCACTGTATTCTTATAAGTATACTTTGAGATGGAACAGTTTATTCATATTTTACGACTAATCTTACAATATAAACAAACTTGCAAACACTAACATTGATCAGTCATTTTAAAAATTATCTTTGTTATATACCAAATTTTCCAAAACCCATTTATTTGTTCATAACTTAGAGTGATATGAATCACATTAAATTTTTTGCATTTTTGTCTTTGAAAAATCTGGTATACAAAAATTTATCAATATTTTTTGTCGTACGTTTTAAAACACTTACAATAATTGCCTTATAATATTATATAATATAAATATATATACTTTATTAGGAATGTGATATGATTCTAGCTTTATTATCTTATTTTTGATCTTTTATCTAATACAAATATAAAAGCTATCTATGCTTTAGATATAACAACTTTTTTAAATCAAAATTACGATATATTATATACAATTTATAAATGAAAAAATAAAATAAAAATTAATAAAATACTTGTGTGCGTTCTATAATATTAGTAATAATAATTTAAAATATAAAAATATAAGAATTTTATTATCAATACTTAAATTGTTTTGGAGACTTTATAGACATTCTTTTACACTAATAAACATTAATTTAATTCTACTATAATGATCTATATATAAACAAAAATATAATAAGTTTTTATATTAAAAAAACTGAAACAAACAGAACAAAGAGTACAAACAAGAACTGGGATTAGAAGTTGGCAGGTGAAATTTCAATGTAATCTTGATTATATTTACTTGCTTATATTGACTTGAGAAGGAAAGTAAACACAAACAAATTCCAATTTTTCTGGAATAGTGAAATTAACAATTTTTACCCCAATAATAAAGTAAATACCATGCAATCTAAAAAAATCTTCGTCAGAATTTGTTTGGAAATGAACATCGCTGTCATTTTATATGTATAATTAGACGGTAAATGGTCATCAATCGTCATTTCTAAGCTAACTTGACGACGTTTTTTCATTATATATAATAATCTATACTCTCATAAATGTTTAATTTTATGTAGTACATAGAAAACTGATTTTAAATTATGTCATGAGAAAATACAGAATATTGCCGCTGTCTATAATTTTTGATTAAATTTAAGTGAATTTTATAAAACAAATTGCTGTCCTGTACTCTATATTTACAAAGCTTATTTCTAAGCTGTTATTCCACAAATTTGTATATTAAAATTTTAATTTAAAAATAATAAACATGCATCATAAGACTAATGTATTATAAATTACTAAAGAACATTTTTTACTTATTTTACACCATTTAATTTATTCAAGGTTACAAAAAAGTAGCATTCGTAGTTACAAAATTATGAATATTTCTCAAGCCTATAATATACAGAGTGAATCTTAAATAAGTGCAAATATTTTTAAGGGAAGTATATTACTACCCCAGAAAATTTGGCATTTTTTGATTTTTTTTTGCATTGTTTTTTAATTTTTGGTTAAAACACTTAATATCTTCATGGTGGTAGATTAAATTTGCAAGAAAGAAAACCCAGAGTTTTCTAGGTTTTCTTTCTTGATGTTTATCCAGTGACTCAAAATTTAAGAGAAAAATAGATATTTTTTTTAATTTTCAAATTAAAATATCTCGGTTATTTTGGACTTATTTGAAAAATGGCAAAGAAACATTATGTTTATTTATCGAGATCTACCAGCCCTGAAAATATTATGCGCACTTATTTAAGACTCGCCCTATATAACAATATATAACAAATATGTTATAAATACTTTACCATAAACCACTGCTACTTTGACATTTTCAAATGTATACCAGTATGTGTAATATATTTTTTATTTTATATAAATGTACAGTTTATGTTAATAATAAAGTTAACAATAAATTGGATTTTTTTCTTGGTACTCGGTACAAAAAGTCTCTGGTGAATTAATTCAACATGTCTAATAAAAAAGCTTATAAATTCCAAAATAATATCTAAATAGCAATATTTTACGGTGGTTCAAGAAACATTTTTAACTTTGTATTAAAATACTGTCGCATTAAATTTATTCTTAGAAAATAAGCTAAATTAAACTTATTTCAAGGAGGATGAGTTCTGTTTGGTACTCTGCGTAGTGTACTCCACATCGCTGGTCACACTTTCTTGCGTACCATCGCCAAATAAAACTTCCGGAAATGAATCTTGTTCTCCTGTCAAAACACCAGTCACTGTTTCTGTATCTTCGGCTGTAGTAAATTCTGTTGGTCTTGTAGTTGGTTTGGGAGTTGTCGTTGTCGCTTGTGTGGGTCTTAGAGCTCCACCTATCGGTATGGACGGGACTTTAATGGTGGCGTAGAGTACTTTGTCTATGTAGAACATGGTGCCCAAGTTGTAGACGAATACCTCGCTTTCTACGATGACAGCTTCGTTGATATGAACATCGACTAAGAAAAAAAAGAGTTTTACTACAAGAGAGAGATCATTATTCTAGTTATTTACAGAGAAAATATACCGTTTTAATTTCAAATAGTTCTTTAAATATATTCGCTAAAAAGGAAGATGATTACACATAATGAAGTTTTTTTACTTTTTACAAATATATGTCATATATTTCACTATAGTTTGTAAAAGTTTGTAAAAGAGTATATTGTAAAATAGTATTTATTAGAAGTAAAAATAATATTTTTTGTGGCGAGGCAGTACGTCATAGACAGACGTTACAGGCGAGGCACAAAAAGTACATTTTTTCTCCGAATAAAACACGTTATTTTTTTTTAAATCTCACAAATAAGTTTTCAACGATTTATTATTTCACCACTAATTTGGATGAATGCTTATATGGAAATTAGAGGACAAAGTTTTACGCTAACTGAAACCACTAATTTCGAGGTTCTGAATGAAATTTAATATATATTTGATTATGAACTCGCAGTGTGCTTTGTCACACAACATATAAATATGAATAACTTTTACCTGGAGTTCTTTCTACTGTCAATGTTTGGTTACCCAGTGTATTGAGGACTGTTCCATTTTTTAAGTCTTTATCATACAGTCTTCCTTTGACAAAATGGTTAAGGAGAATTTCTAAGCCCTCTCCGTTGGATAAGTAGTTATCGGGCATTTTGTCCAGACCTAGTTCTTCAAAAGCTGTATCTGTTGGTACGAAAAACGTGTAGCCTGCCCCCGAAACGTGCGGTGCGAGATCAGCTAAGTTGAGGAATCTGGTTATGTGCGTAAATCTGAAAAAAATATGTAAAATTATATATTTTATCTACAACCGTTTAGTTATAACGTTTTTACATCACTATTTTCTTAGTATTTCAGTTACGTTATGAGATTTATAACACAACTAGTGGTGTTATGGATCTATAACACAACTAGTTTTTATAATAACGTTTGTAACTATAGTCTGAAGCATGTAACAATTCCCAACAATTATAATTAAAAAAATGTGACAAATGTCATAGTTAAAGGTGTTAAAGTTGGGCGACTTATAAACGGAAATTAAAACAGCATTTTCTTATTTTTCGGTTGTAGATAAAACGTTGTACATGACACGTGCGTTTAAACATGAAACTTAAAATTAAAAATTTATAGGTAAGTATTTTCTTCTGTACCATGTTCTTCTGTACTGTTTAAGGTAAATCTAATTTAAATTGCTAAAGTTATACGGTATGTTAAAATATTTATATGGATATTTCGCCACTGCACTGCAAGAAAATCTACAAAATAAAATAGTTATTTTTTGTAAACACTTACTTTTACTGCGTTAAACCCAAACGGAAACTACTTGTCAGAAGTTATGTTTACAGTTATACAAATTTGCCTAACAAAGAAAAAAATGCTTACCGTTTCGGAAATTTTATCTCTTGTTCGTTTATAATTTTTTTTGCTTCCGACGACGGAAAGACCAACCCAAAACGTTTCCGAAACGTTAAGCATTTTTTTCTTTGTTAGGCAAATTTGTATAACTGTAAACATAACTTCTGACAAGTAGTTTCCGTTTGGGTTTAACGCAGAAGTGTTTACAAAAAATAACTATTTTATTTTGTAAAATATTTAAATTGGTTGGTCATTTATATTTTAGTTTTTTTTAACCCTAATACCGCATGATAAAAAAACGGCATCCAGTTGGCTGAGAAATGACGATTGATGACATTTTCCATATAAATTTACATATAAATGACAGGAATCTTTATTTCATAGCCATCGCTGACACCGTTTTTTTTCGGTCATACGGTACAATAAACTGAGAAATTTAAATTTTATTTTAAACCAAAAACAAACTTGTTTGATTGTAGTTGTCTACAAAAACATAAATATTTATTTTTTCAGAGCTTAAAATTATGAAAGCACTAAAAATACAATAAGCCTAAATTTCAAAATAACACGTTCTATATTTTTAATTCAGAATTATTGAATGTTTGGAATAGAATTAGAATTTAGAATTAGAATGAGTGGGAGGGGGGTTAATCACTTCGACCTTACAGATCCATTGTGTCCCCCTTTCTTGAATCATAACTCATCATACAGTCCCAGGGCTTTGACAAAAGCCAGTATCTGGGACGGTTTTATAGAGGGTAGTTCTCCATCTCCAATATCAGTCGTACCAAAATTCATGGCACGAATGGTTGTCGTCTCGGCGCACTCAGTGATGAGGTGTACTGGTGTTTCACCATCTTCCCCACAGAATCTGCATTCGCCGTTTCTTCTTAGTTTCAATCTACTGAGGTGTTCATTGAGGAGACAGTGTCCTGTTAAAAACCCCGTGACAATCCGAAGATTGTTCTTACTCAGACCCAGGAAGATCTGTGATTTTTCTTGATCATAAGGATGTTTGGAATAGCTTTAATAATTTTTATATAGAATATTCTACAGATTATTGCCAACTATTACAATCACTGTCGGTTGTTTGAAGTTTGAAGCTTTTTAGCTTTACTTCATTAAGTAATTGTTATCAGGTAGTAATTGTTAGTTTAAAGTCTGACTTCATACAATGTCATTTTAAGAGCACGCCACTGGTTTATAATAGACGTATCTACTAAAAAACTAAAGTGGTCTTGAATAGCTGTATTAAGATGTTTTAAATAACTTTTTTCTTTCTTTGTGTTTTTTTTACTTCTGACGACGGAAGGAGGTATACCTCCTGAAAAGTTAAACCGGCAGTTCTTGCCGGTTTGGCTTTGTTTTATTAGTAACATACCACTGATAAATTGGTTTTCGGATTAACGCAGTGGTTTTTACAAAAAATACTTTTTTACTTTGTAGATTTTCTTCTAGGGGCGAAACACCCAGAAGTCTTTTCAAGAAATATTCTAGTTATCAGTTTGAATTTTGAATAATAAATAAATCCAAATCAAGTACTTATTTTCATTCTTCGTCTTAATATGTATTCTTTTAAGATACAATTCATATTCATTACAGTATCATAAAAATTCGTATAATTTACATTATTTGTAAACCAACCAAATTATAAAGAAACAATAATTATATATTATATAAATGACATATTCTACCAAAATTGGTGATCCATATCCTAACGAGTTATGCATTTAATTTTTTATTTTTAATCAAAAACAATCTACTTCGTTAGGATATGTCCAGAAAAACAAAATATTTATTTATTAAGCACATAACAGTACAAGTGAAATAAAAACAGCAAAGGTAAAAATTTGAAAATAACGTGTTCGGTATTTTTAATGCAGAATTATCGAGTGTTTCTAGTGCTTTATTGAATTTTCTGTACGGTATCGTCCCTGTGTGTTTTAATTACAAAAGATAAATGAATCAAAATCCAATCTCTGCGCAAACAAGCATTACCATCCGTTTCAATTAGTAGCGACTAATAAAAACAATTTTCAATTGTAATCAAATAATAAAAAAATAATCTTATTTTATAACAACTGTAATAATAAAGTGCATAGGTTTTTGTGCATTTTCTTTATTATTTTCATAGGTATTCCTATTATTTTTGAAGAAATAATTTAGAAGTAATTTTCCAAAATATTTTAGCTTTGTAGTCTATTCAAATTATGGTTCATTATGGTATTGGTATAAAACATCATGACTTATTTAAGAGTTAGAATAATAATAAATATATAAATATACAAATATGTACACCTGGCAAGAAGGACGGATAACAGATGGACCAACATGGAATTACAGCATGGTAACCACGAGGAATTAAGAGACGTAGAGGAAGACCAAATCTGAGATGAAACCATGATATTAGGAAATTTTCAGGAATAACTTGGGCCCGTGTAGCCAACAATAGACAACAATAGGCTCAACTACAAAGAGAGTATCTAAATATGTGAGGGAGGCTACTTCATAATTGTAAATGGTTAAATAAGCTGAAAATGATGATGATGCTGATAAAGGTAATGTAAATATACAGGATCTAAATAAAAAAGTGTGACAAAAATCCGAGGGCATTTTTCAAAAATAATAAAGTTTTTTTTACATAATTTTTTTTTTCTCTCCAAAAAATCCTATATGGGTATTTTGCCACCGCAAGAAAATCTACAAAATAAAATAGTTATTTTTTGTTAACACTTCTGGCGTTAAATTCAAACGGAAACTACTTGTCAGAAGTTAGGTTTACAGTTATACAAATTTGCCTAACAAAGAAAAAAATGCTTAACATTTCGGAAAGTTTATCTCTTTCCGTCGTCGGAAACAAAAAAATAACGCCAAAATTATAATGAAAGAAGCGATAGCCTCTAAAAGAAATATAAAAGAGGCTTTTTTAATACAATCTAAAAAATAAATGTATTGCTCATGCATCTATAGATGTTAGATGTTGATTTTAAAGAACATAACATAAATAAACATAATATACGTAAAATTTAAAAATAATCATACAGAAAGTTTGGGGCTTTTTGGTTTTACATTATTAAGTAATTGTTATCAGGTAGTAATTGTGTTAATTTTGAAGTTTAACTTGGGGGATATAATGTCATTTTAACAGAAAGTCAATGGTTCTTGTAGACGCATCTGTTTTAAAAAACTAAAGTGTTCTCGAATTGTTGAATTTAAATATTTTAAATAGTTTTTTCTTTATTCTTTGTATTTTTTTGCTTCCGACGACGGAAAGAGATAAACTTTCCGAAACGTTAAGCATTTTTTCTTTGTTAGGCAAATTTGTATAACTGCAAATCTAACTTCTGACAAGTAGTTTCCGTTTGGGTTTAACGCAGAAGTGTTTACAAAAAATAACTATTTTATTTTGTAGATTTCCATGCAGTGGCGAAATACCGGATTTTTTGGAGAGATGAATCCGCCACATATGTATAGAATTTTTTTTTTTTTTGATTTGACGTTTTCCTTAAACGTTAGTTACTTATATAAGGTAAAGAAAAATTAAAATATACAAGTCAATCTGAATTTATAAAAGTATATACTCCAGGCAAGCCATATTTTTAGATGGAATTATTAATAATTAATTTAATTTTATAGTTTGGCGTTAATTGCTCTTATCAAATAAATTATAATTCTCTATATGATTTTCTGGCAGTTCTATTTTCTACCAAACAACATTTGTGTAAGAATTTTCAATTTAATTTTGTCTTGATTCATATTTCTATTCAAAAAATTCATAGTCATTGATGTGAAAATATTTAAATATGATTTTCGTAGCATTTAAAGTTTCATTTAAAATTAAGATAATATTATGGTATATAGAAATAATACATTTTGCGTACTATTTGCGAATCACACCCTAATAAGTTATGCATTTTAATTTTATATTTTTAATTAAAAACAAACTCGTTCGTTAGGACATGTCTAGGATAAAATAAATATTTATTCGTTCAGTACATAACAATACGAGTGCAATAAAAACATCGGCGGCCAAAATTTCATAATAACGTGATTTGTATTTTTAATACAAAATTACTGAATGTTGCCTGAGCTATATTAAATTTCCTGTTAAATTCCAATATTATACATATGTTTTTTTAAAATTACAGAAGATAAATAAATCAAAATCTAATCTCTCTCTGCAAACAAGCATTATCATCGGACTCCGATTCAATCGGGGGTGACTGATCGTAAGAGAAAAAAGAAACTAGAAACGAACAAATATCAACAGGTGTTCGGTTCAATTACTGAAATGGATCTGCTTGACCATTCGTTCGCTTTCAGAATTCAAAAATGCGGGGCGTAAAGTTAATTTTCAGTGCTGTCTGTTCGGTATATCTAAGGAATTCCTACAAATAATTCTTAAGGTGTGTGTGTATACAGGGTGTTCCTTAATGACATGCTAATATTTAAGGAGGTGATTCTTGGACCTATTCTAAGAAAAATAGTTCATATAAATGTATATCCTGAACATCTTAACTTTTCAGATACAGGGAGGTAAATTTTTCAATTTTTTTTCCAAATATCTTTTATGTTATATTTGATACACATGCATCAAAATCCTTATTTTGATATACAAAAAAAATCGTATTTCTTAATTTCCTTTCAGCCGATGCAGAAATTATTTCACACAGCAGTCACCACATCTGATTTTCAGAGATTTGGCCCTGAAGTAACTGACTTTTTAAGCAAAAACTATGCGTCGGACGACAAAAATCACCAGATAAAAAATGTTTAGAAATGAATGGAGATTTTAAAAATAATTTTTATTTTAAGAGAAGTCTGTGGTGTACCATCACTTTTTCCCCCAAAAATATTCAATATATATATTTCCCCCAATAATATTCAAACCCGTACGGACGCGGACGGCACAGGTTTAAATAAATAAAATTCTTTGTACACCAAAAAAGGTATTTTGATGCATAGAAGACGTGTATCAAGTTTTATAAAGTCATCTGTAATAAAATCAGAGCTATTATGAGAATAAGTTTTTAGAAAAATTTAGCACCCTGTATCTCAGAAGTTAAGATGTTTAGGGACATTCATTCATTCATATGAAGTTTTTTTCTTAGTCAAAGGCCAAGAATTACACCCTTAAATACTAGCATGTCATTAACTAACACCATGCATATTAAAATAGTTCTTTTTTAAGAGATATATAAATATTAAAAATATATGAAGACAAAGGGTAAAACAACTACTGCATATAACATTAAAACTTAATAATGTGAATCTTATTTTCTTGAATATAATTTTGTAAGTGATATGGTATGTCGTTTAATGTTAAGCTGATTATTTATAATCCAAACTTGTTTTTCTGTACTTAAATATTTTCATAATTATTATTTATTTTGAATTTTTGAGGGCATTCAAGTTTTAACTTTTTGAAGTGCAACTTCTTTACGCGCGTTGGGAGTAAAAATTCAAGGTCGTGACACAGAGCTGGCGTCAGGAAAATTGGTAACGGCAGTGTTGCCATCCGGAGTAAACTGTGTACCAATACCTTATGGTTGTGTGCTAGGTGTCGATAGGTTTGTAGCTTCTGAATAATGGTCATTGGAGAACACTATCATATATACCGGGTGCGTCTCAAAAGTGGCTCACCCCTATAACTTTTTTATTTTTTCAAATAAAAAAAGAGATATGGTATGTTAGTATATGACATAAATTGGAATTGACTGACGTATTCAATTGTTTTCTGTCACTTCCTCTTTCACCGGAAATGACTACAACTTTTGATTTTTAAGTAGCACCCTCGGTATTTTTTTTACTTTATTCGATAGAAAATGACATTCTAAATACAATGACATATCATATGTTAACTTTTGACATTTTTGCTTAAAGCAAATTTGAATTTTAAATTTCAATCTAGAGTGTCATGGCTGTGCTAAAAACACTAATTTTTAATCAAGGAGCTTTGGAAAAATAGATTTGATCGTCTAATAATATTCGTGCCTTGTCCTGGCCGGTTAAAAGATGCTCAAATCGTATTTTTAATCATATCTCAACTTTTTCAAATGGAACGAGGGTGGTCATTACCATATTTGCAAAAATCATTTTTTTACGGATAATTTGGTACCACACACTTTGTACGAATCGCATGTTGCAATTTCAAATAATCCATACTCGAAAATGTCAAAAATTGACATATGATATGTCATTCTATTCAGAGTCTCATTTTCTATCAAATAAAGCAACAAAACACCGAGGGTACCATTTAAAAATCAAAAGTTGTAGTAATTTCCGGTGAAATAGGAAGTGACAGAAAACAACTGAATACGTCAATCAATCCTAATTTATGTCATATATTAATATACCAAATCTCGATTTTTTATCTGAAAAAATAAAAAAGTTATAGTGGTGAGCCACTTTTGAGACGTATCCGGTATTTCAAACCAATAATCAACGGGAATATTCGTATAATTTAATAAAATTACTGTAAATCACTATAAACAAAATAACAAAAACAAACCACAGACTACATAGTAGTAGTAGTGGTATTTTAGTTTAATGGTCACAGCTGCCAGGGCTATCCGGCCGGATAATAGAATTAACTGTTTACGGTTGAAAGCCGAACGATTGGAACCAAACTAGGCACATGGATAGAGGTACTAAAGAGAGTCTTCAGACGCACACACGAAGAAGTAAGAAGAAGTTTCATTTCAGATATGCGCACATAGTGCACACACAATTTCTTTTAAAAATACAATAATATATCAAATAATACATTAGGCGATTCATATCCTGATAAATTATGCATACATTTACATACATACACAAATTACAATTTCTTTGTAAAGAAACATTACGATAGGAGTTCTTATTTTCGACTGACGTGCGAAGAAAACTACACACTTTGGCACCAAAGTTCATCATTCACTTCACTCCCTGTAACGAGCAACTCGACTTTGTTTTCTTCAATCACACGCTCGAACTATTTTAGGAAAGCGGACGCTAGAGACAGACGCTGCCCTATTGGTGTTGCTTTCTTGTCGCCTACATTTTTCGCTGGAGTAACGACCCCATGCGGTAAGCGAATCCATTTCGGTAATTGAATCAAACACCTGTTGATTTCGTTAGCTCGGTGCTCCGGCGTCGCCGTCGGAAAATGTCGGTCGTTGATAGAATTTCAGGTGTTCGAATGGAAGAGGATGAGTAGTCATATAAAGGGGAATGAGGTATAACAGCTAGCAGGAACATTAGTAAAGGCAATGGTAATGGAAACAGTATTATTATATTAATAACATAGGGTCGCAAAGATAGATAAATTAAGTATCATATATGGGATTTTTTTGTTAATCGATATACTGTATGTCCGCGGATAGTTATCATTTTTGTTCTTTAAAAAAGAAAGAATTTTAACCGTAGTAAATTAAGTCAAAAACAAACAGCTATTATAGTGTAGATTTACTAGATTGCTATACTAAATTGCCCTGGGGTGATTAAAAAAATCATTCTTTGATAGATATTACCACAGAGACGAGTTTTGATTTTTAGGAGAATTCAACCATATTTCCATGTTTTTTTTAATTTTCTCTAAAACGGTATAAAAATTTGGTAAAGCATAAACGGTATTAACCATTTTAGAATGAGCAACATTTTTATGAAGAATGTATTTTTCTCAAAATGTCAATAATAAAAAAGGTTTTCCCTAAATGACTTCCAATAATAAATAATATTCCACCAGATATTATAATAAATCATCTGATAACACAGGTCTACAATGATTTTGGTACCGCCAAATCTAAAACTATTTTTAAATATATCAGATGCCCTGATTCTACCAGTATACTTGTTTTTTAATGCTACCTCTAGTTTTCGAGAAATTGCAGGTATAACAAAAAAGGAAAATAAACAATTTTAAAATAATTACTGAGATTATTCTACATGTTAAAAGCTACTTTTTTAGATTTCCATCTGGTTTTAGTCGTTGCATCTGGTTAACTTGAAAGCTTTGTATATTACATCAAAGATTTTTAAAGCTCATTAACAGGTTTAGAACTAATTTCTTGTAATTTTCAGCCTTCTTATTTCCTAAGAAATTTTTCACAATGGCAAAAAAAATAAAATAATGTGATAAAATAATTATTTTTTAAATTTTGACAATTAAAGTGTCAATTTTTCATACTTTGACGTTTTCACATGTTCCGTTTCGTAATTAGCTACGAAATATTTTTCTTTTCATAACTATTAAATAAATGATTCGTTACTATGTCGCTAAAAAACAAAAAAAGCAATTTTTAGGTATTTTTTTAACACATGCAATTAAAAAAAATAGCATAATTTTACTACACACTGACCATTAAACATATCTATATATAACGATTTTTGGTATAAACACCTATAGTGTTGAACCTGTAGTAGTTTCACTGTTTTCGCCCCTTTACATGACTTCTTGGGAATAAGCTAACCAAATTATAACATACAATTATCAGCACCAAAATGAACTTTTTTGTAGACCTGTGTAGTACATTCGGTGGTTCATACCCTAAAGAGTTATGCATTTTTTATTAATATTTATATTATAATAGAATTAATCGTCACAATAATGCGTTCGGTATGTTTAGTATAAGGTTATGGAATGTTCTGAGACTTTTATTAAGTAAAATACTTTAATTTTTCAAACTATTTCCTATACATTTTGCTAGTTATCTCAATTCTCTAAATACATATATAGCTCAAATCCAATTAACTTTCATATTTCTTTAATTTTAACCATAATATGCTTGACACTTACCGTTTATCTCTTTCTAAAGCCAAAAATGCGTGAGATAGAAACTGAGCTCCAAACCAAGGAAAAGCCAGTAAAGGTGGTGTTTCTTTATCCCTGTGTTGTTGGTGCAGTTTGGATACGACCGACTCGCTGACGAACAATACTTCTCCGATAAATACTATGTTCCCTTTCTTCAGTGGAGTGTCACCTTTAACTACTGCAGCACCATTGGCTGTCAAAACAGCTGAAACAAAAATCATGTATAGTTTGTAAAAAGCTCGTTGTTACTGTAAATCTTTATTATAAAAAACTAGTCACAAACACTCAGGAGGTTAACTTGTGTTATATTTCTGTGGTTTTTATGGAAACAACAAATATTTAATATTTTAGAATAAAACCCATCAATATTCATAATTGGCAAAAATATGACTTTCTGTCAAATCAACCATATATTTAGAAAGTTTTGTACTATAAAGCTTGTCTATAAACAAGCCAAGAAAGCACTTTACCCGTAACATTGACATTAACTGCTTGTTACATCTTTAAATTTATTCTTAAATATCGTTCAAAAAACTACGTTAAAAATAACCTTTTAAAATATAATTCTCGTTAAACGATTACTTAATTTTCCAATTGATTTCATAGTCAAGCATATTTTTCTATTTAAACTTAGAATGACTTTAAATGCCTACAAAAATTATCTTAATAGTTCCAAATAAAATTCCGAACGTCAAATATCCTAAAAATCCTATTATAAAATCAAGTGGCGTGCCTCAAAAATATGTTCTTTTTAATAAAAATAAAGGTCAGATTTTTTAGGTTCTTTACAGACATTATTAAATTCATCTTAACATAGACATTACGAGCTTTTACCATCCAGTTAAAGTTAGTAGTAGTTACTCATCTTTTTTAAATATATACATTCTTTCAGATATTAAAAAATGAACCTCTAAAAAAGAAACAAAAAACCTCTAAACATTATTAAATATGCCAAAGTAATAACAAAAAAAGAGTGAATATTTGATTAATTTAAATAAGAATGAAATAAATGTTACTTAAAAAAAATAATATAAAAAAAAACAATTATTATTTTTATGTAACCTCTATTCTCTCGTAGTTAAAAAATAGATCAAAATTTAAATTAAATAAAGAACAATTTTTTTTTTAAAAATCACACTGATTTATCCTCAAATTTTTTTCTTTATCTTCTTTATAATGCAATATTTGCCAAACAAATTTATAAATATAATAAATAACTGGGTTTATCTAGAATACCTAAATTAAATTTAAAGTTTAAGAAAAATCTCAATATAAGATAAGTCAAAATAATGATAATAAAAAGAAAGTTTGTTGGTAGTCTGGAAAGCTTTCAGGAGTCTGAAAACTTGTAGCTAATATCAGATCATAAAGCGATTCGTTGATATATAATGATAAATCGATATTAATGGGGTACTACGAACATCCATTTAGTTATCTGATAAAAACTTTTTGTCTAAGCCTCGTTAATGACATAAAGGGGGAAAACGAGAATCTACTATATCAATATATAGGGTGATTTACGGAGATAGCAGATTAGACATTTATAGAAAAGCCGTGAAAGTATTTTATTGGATATTTGGATTTTTACATAAACGCACTTCTATCTCCATCTATCCACATAATACATATTATTAATTTATATACTACGCTCCATCTATCTAAAATATTTTTAGCGTTATAGTGTTGTCGCACCATTTGAAAAGTGTTAGCATCTTTGATATTTTAAATTGAACACCCGGTATATTATTACAATTTTTGTAACTACTTCCATATCTCAAAATTAAAAAAAAATGTGTATAATTGAGAAAAACATGATATTGAATAAGCATTGGTAAAATCATGAATTGCCCATTTTTTAAGTTGAAAATTATATAATGTAACAAAAGCCGATATATTCGATCTATTTAAATCAACCGATTGGATATTACACAGGGAGGACAAAAATAATATTTATTTCTGTTATAAAACTGTTCTCAAAACTTTGTTATTTTAAATTCAACCCTATGTATATTATTTAAAAAATCAAGACTAATAAAATTTATTTTCAACGATATATCATGTTCCAATACCTAAACCTTCCGGTTTTTAAGTAGAGCTGTTTAAAAATTAATATTTCTATATTATAGTTTTATTTTAAGAATTTCATTACCATGACAATTTTAAAAATTTGGCAAGTAAAGTCTAATTGATTCTTATCAAGTTTGAATATTTGTCGGTTCTTTTAGGCAAAAAAATCAAAATTTTTAAGTAAATCCTGTATGACACTGTTTACTTGTTTATACATTTTCTGTATAATATACTCTAAAATACTCGTAGAACCTGGCTTTTAAAAATCAAAGACTAGACTGATGATACTAATCAATTACAAATTGTTTAAATAAGCAAAAATGCCACAAAATATAAAGAAAAACGACGACGGCCAGGTGTTTTTGGATATTCTTGGGTCTAGAAATAGTAGATGTAATAAAGCGTGAATCATATATTAAACAATTATGATTCATATTTAAGTTATTTCTTTAAAACTCTCTTATTGCAAAGAAAATAACTATATATAATTTTCTATACTAATCTATGGCGACTAATAGAGAAAATTATATAAAGATACAAGTTGGTTGTCAATCTTTAAATAACTCTTTGTGATTTTAAACTATTAGTTATCCGCTCCTTCCATTACCGGTTCATTATTATTCAGTAGCTATACCACTACAGTACACCAACAACTCGTAAAATATATGGTGTAAACTATCTTTGCCGACTTCGTATCTTGCCGAGACGATGCAGTAGCTTATACACGTTACTATACACGTACGTGATAGAATAACGCCCAGTCAGTTTATAAGCTCGCCGCCAAAGATTTGTTATTGTAACACTGGCTGAGGTTATTTCCATAATAATCTGTGGTCTGGTAGTAACTTAAAGTGTTCGGTCATACAAAATAAAAGAAAATTTAATATACCGGGTGCGTCTCAAAAGTGGCTCACCCCTATAACTTTTTTATTTTTTCAGATAAAACAACGAGATTTCGTATGTTAGTATATGACACAAATTAAGATTGATTGAGGTATTCATTTTTTTCCGGTCACTTCCTGTTTCACCGGAAATGGTACTTTTCATTTTTAAATGACATCCTCGATATTATTTTACTTTATTCGATAGGAAATGACACTCTGAATCGAATGACATATCATATGTCAACTTTTGACATATTCACTCAAAAACAAATTGTATTTTAAATTTAAATCTAGAGTGCCATGGCTGTGTTAAAAACACTAATTTTTAATCAAGGAGCCTTGGAAAAATAGATTTTATCGTCTAATGTTTTTACTGTCTTGTCCTGGCCGGTTAAAAGATGCCCAAATCGTATTTTAATCATATCTTATTTTTTTCAAATGGAACGGGGGTGGCTTATTAAAATATTTGGAAAATTATTTTTTTAGGAATAATTTGATACCACACACGGAATTTCGAGTTAAATTGTCGTTATGAACCGCAGGTTACAATTTCAAACAAACCATATGCGAAATGTCAAAAGTTGACATCTGATATATGTCATTCAATTCAGAGTGTCATTTCCTATCGAATAAAGTACAAAATACCGAGGGTGCCATTTAAAAATCAAAAGTTGTAGTCATTTCCTGTGAAACCGGAAGTGACCGAAAACAATTGAATATGTCAATCAATCCCGCAAAACATTCCCCTTTAGAACTTCATCCGTCATTAGTTAAGAAATGAAAGTAAATAAATAAGCGCCTCTAGTGTTTGTTCGCGTACCAAAAATTTCAATTGCATGTATATGTTTTTAATATATTTTTTAAATTTACATTTTTTAATTGTAAAGTAATATATTAAATTTAAATGGAATATATTACATAACAATTAGGTATGTCTATTACAGGCCTTTGTACATGCTTGCTTTCTAACATTTTTTAAATAAAACAAATTATAAAATTTCAATATCCCTATGTATATCTGTCGTAGGTATGAAAAAAGTAAAATATAAAATGGACAAACGCTTACTGACATTGCAATAAAACTGCCGCTTTTAGTTTTTAAATCCAAAGGCAATATTTCTTTTTCACAAATAAAAATATCCGACAACACTAAAATCACTGAAACTTCTGCGGCCGACAACAAAAACTGAAAAATATAACAGCACAGTTTTGACTAAATTACGCTGTACCATTATGTTTTTGCTTTTGAAATAATATAAAATATAATAGAATTAACTTACTTCAACTGCGTTACTGCAGATGGAGCTGAGGCTTGGTAGGGCTTATATAAATAAACAAAATAAAAGAAGCAAAAAATTAAGGCCTTGAAAACCCTACATATATGCTTATTCTCTGCATTAAGTTGATCAGACCGAAGGAAACAGTCATTCGACGACCGGTTTCGGAGATTTATCTCCATCGTCAGGCCGACTTTGCTGTAACCCTCGATCTGACAAACGAAAAGCAGAGAATAGCATTTGGGTACAAAACGTACTCTCTGCTTCTCGTTTGTCAGATCGAGGGTTACAGCCACCAGGCGGAGCAGAGGACCAAGCCTCAGCTCCATCTGCAGTAACGCAGATGAAGTAAGTTTGTTTGTCCAGTAGGCCGCTGGTTTTATTTTTGGCGGTACGATCTGTGATTGTCACAGATGCCGCTAGATGGCGTAGAGCGTCTAGCACTCGCCGTAGTAGTACGTTTTGCACTCAAATTATTTTCTGCTTTTATTCTCAGCTATTCTCTGCTTTTCGTTTGTCAGATCGAGGGTTACAGCAAAGTCGGCCTGACGATGGAGATAAATCTCCGAAACCGGTCGTCGAATGGCTGTTTCCTTCGGTCTGATGAACTTAATGCATATAATAAGCATATATGTAGGGTTTTCAAGGCCTTAATTTTTTGCTTCTTTCATTTTGTTTATATAATAGAATTGTCTAATTACTAAGTATAACTTGTGAATTTTGGTATTTTAACAATCTCTGACAATAACTAAACTTTTTGTTATCAAGATGACATTTTAGACGGCAACCAGCAACAACTGACATATATGTCATAGTATTTTAATTTTTATGTAATATAATTTAAATTAATAAAATGCAACTTTATACTAAGAGATCATTTATACATTCACAAAATACAACAAAATGTAATAATATAGTTTGGAAACAATGAAAATTAAATTAAAATTAAAAAAATTAAGCGCGACCCCCTGTGTCAAAGTTAGTTGATAAAATTTTCGCATTTTTTACACCATTTGACGACTGGTGGCGCCTCTAGTATTTGTTTGCACGGTAGACTTTTACTCTCGTTTATGGCCAGTAAAGAAAACATTTTAAAGGGGATGTTTTGTGATCAATCCTAATTTATGTCATATACTAACATACAAAATCTCGTTGCTTTTCTGAATAAATAAAAAGTTATAGAGGTGAGCCACTTTTGAGACGCACCCGGTATAGGTTTGGATTTTAAGAAATTTTCAAAATAGCTTATTTATATGTCTGTAGATATGACATTGTGATATCTGTTTTTCGTTCAATTAGTAATTTTATAAATGTCCGTTTTTGCAACACAATAGAACACCTTTCTCGGTAGGGTTACGAAAAAAGAATACTATATAAAAGAAACATATTTTTTCTTTAATGTTTTTCAAATAAGTCCACAATAACCGAGTTATTTTACTTTAAAAATTTGAAAAAAAAAGTTTTTTTGCCATCCAGTGGTTCTCAAATTTTTATGAGAACCACTGGATCTTTTCTGGGTTTAAATTCTTGTAAATTTAATTTACTACCTAAGTTGTCATATTATTAAGAAATTGTGTTTTTAATTAAAAATTAAAACAAAATCCAAAAATTTTTTTCAAAAGATTCCAATTTTTCCAAAAAAAAAAATGCGGAAAATATCATAGGTGTGTTTCTGGGGTCGAAATATACTACCTATATAACATAATTATATTATATAATATAATAATTACAACCTAAATAATATTATTATCTAAAGAATATCACTGAATAATGTGTATAAATGTGTCACGGATACATTTCTTGAAAAAAGCCTGGTTTTATTTTTATATTTTTCCTATTTTTTATTAGCAATCCATAGCAGCATTTACATCATGTAAATATATAAAAAAAAGATATAAATATTTTTTGTTTATTTTTATTTCTCTATAAAATAAATAGAAAATATAAAAATAGCGTAAAAATCTATAAAAATAATGGAAGCTTTTGACCTAAAACCCACACTAAAGTGTATGTGGGCTTTAAAATAAACGGCCGGTATTTTGAACAAAACTATCAGCAAACCGCTACGGTTTCCGCATAAAAGGGTTTATGTACGGCCTTGTATCCTTTAGAGTGCGTATCATGACTTTTTGTGAAACGTACACTGGTTTTAACACATTCTGCGTGGTGTAGAGGAAACATTTTGTTCCTGTTAAGCTTTTTTAAATAAAATCGTTTTAAAACTGTGCATTAAATAATCCAGTATGCTTTTTTATTTCTTTTCATAGCAACTGTTAAAATTGCCTTATATCTATCAGAAATAGTAGATAAAATAGTACTTTAATCGCAAGGGTAGATTAAATGATACTTTAACAGCGAGGATAGGTTAAAAACTTTATTTCTCGCACGTTTTTTAATTGCTTCCATTTTTGAAAACTTTTGTATTCCTTTTCATAAGTTATTCGGGATTTAAATGGAAGTAGTTTGGATATGGCGTTTGTCGCCTCAGCCTGAATATCTGTTGGTAATTTACTTATTTTGTTTTGAGCTATTTCTGGCTCCAATTGAATCAGCAAAACTGACAACTAAAGAGACAGCTTTATTTATTTGTCAAATTACATAGAAACCGACGCCAACCCAGCACAATATTTTTTCTACTCGTAATAAATTCCTTGAAATAATAATTTCTGACTATTTTTTAAAACGTAACTCGCTATGGAAAACAATACTGTTTTATACACGACGATAAAACTGAATTATCGTATAGAATACCATTTTATCGTCTTGTATAAAAAATAACTAAAAGTGTTTATAAAAAGCAAATAAAAACACGCGGAATTTGATTTGAATCGAACAAAATTGCAAAATAAACTGTATTCCTTAAAAATACCTACGAGTCCTCTTAAAAGCGATCTCCCTGCCACCTAGTGTTTCCACCACTTGGCCGTCTTTGATGTTGTCCGGCTTCAGTCTGCCCTTCACGAAGTGGTTCACTATGACGCTTTCTGTGAACTCAGGTACGCTGAAAGGGTAGAATCCCCAATCGATGGGGTGCCACCGTTGGAAAGCGTGATCTGTGGGTACAAAGACGGTGTATTCTTCGCCTGAAAAAAAAATAGATTGGGTGAAAATTTGATAAATGTGAGTAAGTGATTGTCAAATAATTTATCGTAAAAAAAGAACTTAAAAGTTATAAAGAACTTGTAAATGAACTTAAGGCAAAAGAACTTGGAAAAATATGGAAATTAGAATGTGATGCAATTTTTTTTTAAATATTCGGAAGTGTTCAGAATTTTGGAACTTTTAAGGTAATTTTGAGTAGCATCAAATTGCGCAACTAGTACAATTAAGTACTATTAGGGGTGGTTGCAACGACGTCATGTTATTCTGATGCTAAAACATAAAAATTGGGTTTTATATAAAAAAAACCAGCTGTTATGTTTTACCAGCAGGATTACAGACGTCGTTGCAGCTACCTTAAAAGGTATAAAATTCCCTTTTTAGCGCGATAAGTAGCATAAAAAAATTCGCTTACTATAAAAAAGATATTACAGTTTGACTTTCTTTATACATTTAAAATATTTGTATATTTTAGAAATAGTATGCACCCGGCCACGCGCTGCTGTGGCTAAGCCGGTATAATAAAATTTGGCTAAATACCAAGTTTTTACTAGGTATATACCCAAAAAGTCAATAAATGGTATATTGAATTTGGGTAAATACCATTATACCCGGTATATACCCAATCATACTCACGTTTTTAATTTAATGTATTCTAACATTCTTTAAAAACAATTTGTTGTTAAAAAAATTGGGGTGGACCATCCTTATCACTTAGGGGTATAAAAAAATAGATAACAAACTATTCTTATATTTACTGAATATACGTATAAAATTTCATCAAAATCGGTCAAGCCGTTTAGGAGAAAAATGAAGAAAAATAGGTATAGATTTATTCTAGGAAATCAAAACCATAAATACTAACGTTTATCTAATTAATCCTTACATTGTTATATTTTATTATATTAATATTATAACAGAGTATAACAGTATTCCCAAATCCACATAAATCGTGTTTATTCGTACACTATACTTTTAAAACGTAATGCGTTGAAATTTATGAGGTGCCATTTTAAAAGGTGCAATCTGTCAAAACGCGAACAGCGTGTTCCTTTCTGGGAGGGAAAAAACGAAGAAGAAAGAAAAAAAGAATGATTTATCGTTTGTCTTTCATTTATAAGAAATTTCCTGAGGTTTCTTTTACTTAAAAAGGGAGGCCAAAACGCACTGGAAAAGATTTGAGGTGAGGACAAAAAATATCTTTTTTACTAAGATTCTTGAAGACAAACAAAAAATACGAATTAGAGATACAACCACTTAAAAAAAGTTCTTAAATTGATAAATAAAAAAATCTTAAGTTTTGGTCAACCAAACATGAATTCATGTTAAATAAAACACAAGTAAAAGCAGTCCTCAAATTCCGAGACACCTTTAATATACAGGGTGGACTCAGCGTTCCGAGACAACTCTATATTAGGTTTTTAGTTCGAGATTTTCGCATCAATTTTTCTTATAAAATAGACAGGTAAGAGCTGCGCATATTTTAATCTTTTTTGACAATATACAGGGTGCGTCAAAAATAAGTGCAAGTATTTTAACTGGTAGTACATATCGACCCCAAAAACACGTCTGAGTTTTTTTTGCATCTTTTTGATCTTTACCGACTCGAGACGGGACATTGAAAAGTCTCCGAATTTTTAAACAAAATTGTTTAAAAATTATAAGAATTGGCTATAACTTTAGGTTTTCGAAGAAAATATACTATAGCTTATGTCGCTAAAAAGCTTAAAAAATGGCGCTTTTTATGAAGTCATGACCAACTAGGGTTTCCATTTAAAAAAAACATATGTTTGTGTCATATATCAAAAATTACAGGCTTTAGAAAAAAAACGGAGGAACAATCTTATTAAGGATGTGATTATCTACAACTTTTTTTTGAAAACTTTTTGTCTAAAATAGCTTATAATGGAATTAGGGACAGTTTTTAAAATAGCCGAAATTTGTTTTTTTCGAAATATCTAGTAAGCCATGAACTTTTTCAAAAATCTGAAAGGCGCATATTTATGACCCCACAAAACTGCAATTCATTCCCCATTTAACCGACTCTCTGTCTCCAGTAGTTTCCAAGATACCCATAGAGAACATCGTAGGAAACTCACCCTGTATATAAGTTTTCTAGTCCATTTTGGATGATTATGTTACAGTAAAAGCCAGAAAACAGGGAATGTTAACATATTAATAATAAAAACTTACATTGACGGATCTTCTAACAGTAGTAGTATTCGTTCGTTCTGAACGAAATGAACAGACAAAACGACAACAATCAGACAAATAACGAAAAGACAGAAACATTCATGTTATACGACAAAATTGCGACAAATTCAATACATTTCTGCGACATTTTTGTCTCATTTTTGTTTTCTTTCAAAATTCGGAGACTTTTCAATGTTTCGTCTCGAATCGGTAAAGATCAAAAAGATGAAAAAAAAAACTCAGACGTGTTTTTGGGGTCGATATGTACCGGGTGTCCCACTAAGAATAGCTCTCGGCTGTATCTCGGAAAGTATTAGCCGTAGGGTTTACGAAAAAAAAATATTTATAACGATAATAAGAGGCTATGAGAAATTGCTGGAAATTATTTTCAAGTTTGTAGAACGGCCGCTAGGAGGCGCAACTGCAACAAAAAATATGAAAATGGAGTTTTTACACAATTTTGCCTAGATAAGGTGTACCATAAGTAATAGCTTTATAATCTTCAGTAAATTTTGAATATTTTTTGTTAGAGCCATTTTCCCCTATCTGCAAAAATAAAGTGGTGGGGGAAGGTTAGATCTGTTTTTATTTAAATATTAATACCTCTGGACTGGATAATCGGAATCCAACAAGCGAAGGCTCGTTTAAAAGAGCGTTTCTTACTCTATATTGTACCAAATAAACAATAATAATAAGCTTTTGAACGTAGACGCTAGGGGGCGTTGTCTTACAATTTAACAAGGATTGGGCGTTTTTTCAAAAAAATTGAATGCAATAGTATATGTAATTTTAGCTGATAGTAAAGAGTAGTAAAAGCTTAAAAAGTCGGCGAAAACTGCATCTTGATATCTTATTTCAAACTGAAGATATTAGCAAAATTATAATAAATACCAAAAAATAAGCCTTTATTATTTGAAATAGTTGAAGTTGTTGGCATTTTGAAAAAGCAATTAAAAGATAAAAATCGCTGATAAGACTATCAAAATGTGATTTAATAACACTTTGACGATTATACTATTATTACGTCAAAAGCAACTTTTTTCCAAAGCCTACCATGACTTCACCGAATCATCGTTTCTTGTTCACTGTTATTAATATCTTAATTATTAGATATTAATACCTCTGGTATTATGGTATTCTGGTATTTCGTCGATTTTAAAATAAACTAACTGTTTCTATCTTATTTTTTTGTTAGAATGGGCATAATTAAGAGGGCTACTGATACCGTGTTGTAAAAGTAAGGTAATTAAGGGCTTATTTTTTCGTATTTATTATAATTTTGCTAATATCTTCGGTTTGAAAGAAGATATCAAGATGCGGTTTTCGCTGACTTTTTAAGCTTTTGCTACTCTTTACTAACAGCTAAAATTACATATACTATTGCATTAAATTTTTTTGAAAAAAAACGCGCAATGTTTGATAAATTGTAAGACAACGCTCCCTAGCGTCTACGTTCAAAAGCTTATTATTATTGTTTATATGGTACAATATAGAGTAAGAAACGCTCTTTTAAACGAGCCCTCGCTTGCGCTTGCTGGGTTTCGATCATCCAGCCCAGAGTTATTAATATTTAAATAAAAACAGATCTAACCTTCCCCCACCACTTTATTTTGTTAGATACGGGAAAATGGCTTTAACAAAAAATATTCAAAATTTACTGAAGATTATGAAGCTATTAATTACAGTACACCTTATCTAGGCAAAATTGTGTAAAAACTCCATTTTATTATTATTTGTTGCAGTTGCGCCCCCTAACGGTCTTTCTACAAACTTTAAAATAATTTCCAGCAATTTTCCATAGCCTCTTTAGATATAAATATTTTTTTCCGCAGCCCCTACGGCTAATACTTTCCGAGATACAGGCGAGAGCTATTCTTAGTGGGACACCCTGTACTACAAGTTAAAATACTTGCACTTATTTATTATTATTTAACTATTATTTATTACCTCACAAAACTGCAATTCTTTCCTCATTTAAGCGACTCTCTATCTGCAGTAGTTTCCGAGATACCCATAGAGAACATCGTAGGAAACTAGGAAACTCACCCTGTTAGAAAATTTATATTTCACATGAAGAGAAAAAGTTCTGGCAAAACATCGTGTTTCCCATCAAAAACTACAAACCACACACGCGAAAGAAACAAGAGAAACCGTGTTTTGGGGAAACTTCATTTAAATTCAATTTAAACGAGTTATTCCCCAGAGCCCACCGTACACTTGCGAGGATTTGCCGGAAACTGCGACAACTTTAATCGAAAGTGAGTTTTTAGTTTGCGATTTTTTGCCACGCCCACGGATTTCGTTAAAGCGAGAACGAGATATTTTGTTGGGAAGTTGCTCCAAACTAATTTCAAACAGAACGTTGGGAAACAGACTGACTGCCAAGTTTGTTGTTTTGAGTTTTCGGAGGAACAAAATACCGTATTAAATCGCCGCGGTGTGCTGTTGAATTGTATAAATAAGTAAAAAATAAATACCGTCTATATCCTTGTGGCGGGTTTGTTGCCTCCAGAAGAGTTCTCGATTTTCAAAAATCATTACGTTAATGCAAAGAAGACAAATTTCTCAGTGGTATTTTACTTATAAAACAAATTTTCCCAACCGATAAAAAATGCTTAACGTGTCAGGAGGTATATCTCCTCCCGTTGTCAGAAGCAATAAAAACACAAAGAGCAATAACCAATTATGGTAAAAAGAACCCTATCTGCCAAAAAAGCGCATCCATTCTTGTTAGCCACCCAGTACAACTATGTATCTTCAGTCTCTATCCACCTTTTCTATTACTTAGTAC